TCTCATATGAGGGATAGTCACATGACAGTCTCATAGGCTATATTTACACTGCAGGTCAATTCCGATTTTTTAACCATATGTTACACATGTCTGATTTTTTCATGTAAGTGTGAACAGTGCAATTCTGATTTTTTCAAATCCGAGCCAGGCCTCTTTTGTATGTGGATATAAATCGGATATGTGTCCGATGTGACTGCAGTGTGGACGCTCAGGTCGCGTTCATCCGACCTACACTACAGGCCAAAAGTTTGGAAGCAAGGCCATTACAGGCCGAACAGTTGGGAGTAACTTCAAGTTTTTGTTCACAATGCTTTTTTTTAAATCCAGCAGTTTTATGTATTTTGGGATGTATTTACTACATGATCAGATGTTGCTGTCATGGAAATGCACCATTTTACTCCATTTACCTTTAGATATACATTGATGTTAACAGACCGTTGCTAAATACATGGCAGCAAAAGATAATAAGGGCTTAGTTTTAGGGTTGAAAACATTTTCAAGAGTCACAACTTCAGTGCAGAAGCAAAAAAAAAATCACAGTTGGATTATTCACTTCAACTTTTTGGCTTTTAAGAGTCTGCATACAAAAATCCTAATAAATCTAAACTGCTTTCAAACTACCACAAAAAAGGGCTAGAAAGAAGCAACTAAGTAAAGAAACAAAAATACAGATTTGTACTTTGAGGAAAGAAGGACACAGAGAGAGAGAAATTGCAAAACGACTAAAGGTGTTTAACAAAGGAGTCCACTACACTCTGAAGAGACTAGAGGAACCTGGAAGTTATGATGATAGAAAAAGACCTGGACAAAAGAGAGTTACTACAAAAGCAGAGGATAAACATAGCATTGTCACCAGTAAGAGAGATTGGCGAAAGACAGCACCAAAAATAAGTGAGGAAATCAACATGACAAGGTCGAAACCCATATCTCTGACAACCATGAAATGACGTTTGAGAAAGGCTGGTCTGAAGGGTTGTGTATCTGCAAAAAAAACACTACTGCGTCCACAGAACAAGAAAAGGAGATATGAGTATGCAAAAGTTCACAAAAATCGGACTTATGATGACTAGAAACAAGTTTGAACTGTTTGGTTCAAAGGCAGAGTCTATGTCCGCAGACAAACTGGTGAACATCTGAAAGCACCATGTGTTACACCCACAATTCATCATGGAGGTGGTAGTTCCATGGTATGGGGATGTTTTGCAGGTGATGGAGTAGGAGATTTGTTTAAAGTAAAGGGTATTATGAAGAAGGAACAGTACCACTCCATCCTCCAGCACCATGCTGTTCCATCTGGACTCAGACTTGTGGCTCATAAGTTTGTTTTGCAGCAAGACAATAACCCTAAGCACTCTGCCAAGCTCTGTCAGGGTTACCTAGACAAAAAAGAAGAGGAAGGTGTTCTTCAAAAGATGATTTGGCCCCCTCAGTCTCCAGACCTTTCTCCAGTTGAGCTTGTGCGGGATGCATTGGATCGATCGGTCAGAAAAACGTGTCCCATGAATCAGCAGTCTCTTTTTAATGAACTTAAGAAAGCTTGGAATGCAATCCCCGGAACATACCTTAAAAAACTTGTGGAACGAATGCCTGGTATATGCCAAGCTGTTGTTAAAGCCAGAGGAGGTTACTTTAAAGAAAGCAAAGTCTAAGCAACAATAACTCAAATACCTAATAATTATAGTCAAAATGTCTTCTGATAAGTTACTCTTTACACAATAGTCATGTTTATTGTGTTGCAAATTATATATTTGAAACTATGATCTTTTTTTGTACAAATCTGATCTTGCTTCCAAACTTTTGGCCTGTAGTGTATATGTCATCAATATGCGACAAACGTCACCATTGTTCGACAACACAAAGGCAATTTGTGCTTTGTGCGCATCACTTCACGGACACATTCCGTTCATATTAGATGCCGCATTTGTTGTTGTAATGTGAACAACCACACAAAAAGATCGGATTTAACAAAAAATCCGAATTGTGTATCATAACCTGCAGTGTGAACATAGTCTAAGACAGACCTTCAGAGAGTCTCTGAGTCTCTCTGAGGTTCAGGACTCTGTGAGAGACCGCGTGAGCGAACAGTTCAACAGTTTCAGAATAAAGTTCCTGAGTGGATTTGAACCAGGACCAGAACCAGTACTGGATGGTCCTGATCTTCAGGGCATTAAAAACAGACAGGTCTCTGGAGTGGAAATCACCGCATGGACTCAGAATCACTTCAAAAACCATCGACTGTGAAAACTCAGATCGTCACTAATGAAAGAGGAGACCAGACAGAACCAGGATCCAGAACCAGCAGAGAGACCAGACGGAACCAGGACTCTCATGTTATCCGGGCTCTAAATAAGAGGGACCACACTAAACTACTGTCAGCTCTCAGTCCAAATCTAGAATCTCTGATGGTACCACGACCATCAGAGTCCAGGTCATCTGTGAAGGCTGAACTAGATCTTCAGGTTGTTGCAAATATGTTAAATTGACAGTCTGAACATTTAAAGAGTTTAAACTTGAAATAATTGAAAAACTGTCAGAGTCCTTTTTTTTACTCAGATTGACCGTGGCGGCCCTCTGAACTCTGGGTATTCAGAACCAGAGCTGGACCCTGAGAGATGATGGTCCTGATACAGACCTGATCAGGATCAGGTACCAGTCCTGTCACAGCAACACTGCACTGATCCACTGTGCGTGCGTGTGTGCGTTATTACTGGTGTGTGAGTCAGTGTTCAGGATTCACACAGATAAACTGGATTAGAGAGAATCAACAGTAGGGACAACCTGGGGGGGGGGCAAAGGGGGAGCTCAAGAGGATCTTTGGCAAACACCACATTCCTGTTCATTTCAAGCCTGGTAACACACTAAGGCAGAGGCTAGTCCATCCCAAAGACAAAACACAGAGACATAAACAGAGTAATGTGGTGTATGCTGTCCAGTGCAGCAAGGAATGCTCAGACCTGTACATTGGGGAAACTAAACAACTGCTTCACAAGCGCATGGCTCAACACAGGAGAGCTACTTCCTCAGGTCAGGACTCAGCTGTCCACCTTCACTTAAAGGACACGGGTCACTCTTTCAGGTGTGCAGGTGTTGGCTAGAGAAGACAGATGGTTTGAAAGAGGAGTTAAAGAAGCCATCTTTACCAGGCTGGAGAAACCTTCTCTGAACACAGGGGGTGGACTCAGGCACAATCCCTCCGGTGCTTACAATGCAGTTCTCAGCTCTCTCCCCAGGAAGCTCCACAAACATTCACACCTGGGACCACATGACTCAGGTAGCATGAGTCATGTGGTCACATGACAGGGGTTGTTAATGACCCTTTCAGGTAAACGACTCTTGGGGAGGGGAGATACCCAGAGATAGGTTTCTACGACCCATTCTTTCCAACTCCTCCCAGTCATTGTCTGTCCCCTTCTCCAGTAAGATAAATATCTGCTCCTCACACTATTAATTTAGAACTGAAGAAGTTTCTTGGATAAGAGGCGAAACGTCTTCTTAACTCTACACAGTCCAATTGCCTGATTTTGGAATCTTCAAGAAGACAAAGGGGGAGGATAAATATGGGGGCCTAAAAAAATAAACAGACGTGTTTAATTAAAGTGTTGAAATAATAACATGATAAACTGATAAACTGACAGAAACGAAGATTTAACAATGTTGGCATCATTAAATTTGATCCAGTTTTTCATGTTTCTCTTCAGACGTCTCTGTTCAGAGATATCATCATTATTATTGTTAATATTATTATAATTATAATTATTATCATCACCACCATCATCACCACCATCATCATCATCATCATCATCATCATTATTATTATTATTATTATTATTGTTGATGTTGTTGTTGTTCAGGGAGATCACAGAAAGAAAGAATAATATCCTTTAAGAGAGTTTTACAAGTTAAAAAAAAAAAATTGTCAGTTGGACAAACTTTAACATGTGGAGAGATGAATGAGTGAATGAGTCTAAACTGATATTTACTGTAACGGAACTGAATCTTACTCTTCAGTATTGTACTGTATTGTTCTATATAGTATATCAATATACATGATTGTACTGTATTGTACTATATAGTATATCATTATACACGATTGTACTGTATTCAGTTATAAATTCTGGGGTCTCACTGGGGGTCTTCTTATTTTGTTAATAATTCAGTGGATGTGAGAGAAACTTCATTTCGGTGTCTGTATGTCTTAAAGGTGATCATGTGACCTTGTTTGAATGCCAAAATGAACAGAATCTGAGCTGCTGTGTCACTTCTGAGCGCTTCAACGCCATTGGACAGCCTTTTACACACACAGTGTGTGTGTGTATTTCCTGGATGAAAGGTGTCTGTGTCTCTCGGGGGGGGTGGGGGGGGGGGGGGGTGGAGAATGCTGGGAGATTAAGGTGGAGCTTAAATTTAGTTTTTAATCCGGTGTGATTTAAGTTTTATTTTGGGGGTTTCAGGCATTGTCTCTCTCTGTGTTTTAGTCCCTCTGTCTAAATCGAACACCTGAAAACACACCTATGACCCTCAAAGTGAGGAAATGATGTTACCTATCCTCACCTGTCCACACCTGATGATTGAAGCCCCTGATTCTCTGAGTGGGTTTATTTGTGGCTGATAAGTGAGCTGGCGTGTACAGGTATGAACAGGTGTGAACAGGTATGGAGAGCTGCAGTTCGGGTCACAGTGTTTGTAATAAAGACTGGTTAATGATAATGTCGTTCGTCTATCAGAGGTGAGTTCATGTAAAAACTTTGAAGTTTGAGATTCTTCAGGATTTGTCTGACTGTTTCATGTGTTATCCCCGTCTGCAGTCGAGCTCATTTACTGACAAGGTCAGTACTTGATTTGAATTTCATTGTATTCATTTATTGGTAACGGTTTGGATGCAGCTCAGCATGTTTAAGTGTACCGGACCATCTGGTGTCATCAGGTCACGTTTGTTTTTATACCAAATAACAGGAAGATGAACCAGCAAGGAGACAGAAAGACACAGACTCTATGTCTCTATGGACAACTCCTCACAGACAGAGGAAGAGGAGAAGGAAGAGGAGGAGGAGGAGGAGGAGGGAGAAGAGGAGGAGGAAGGGGAGCAAAAGGAGGAAAAAGAGGAGGAGGAGGAAGAGGAGGGAGCGTCACTCCTGCTTCCTTTTCCATCCTGACCACAGCAGACCTTTTATGACCGTCCAGCTGGACCAGGCTGACCAATCAGCTGCAGCAAACAGGATCACATGATCCAGTGACCTTCACAGAGAGGTGATAAAGTGAGGTGATGCTGTGAGGCTCCTTCATCTGTTCTCCTGCTCCTCCTCATCAACTACAGCCTGATTAAAACCACATCTACATCTACTCCGAGGACCAGAATGAGACCAGACCAGCCCGGCACGGTGAGTAGGACCACCTAAAGTGGTCTTCAGCTGATAGTTCAGAAGAGGTTGATGTTTGCTCTGCAGCTGATCAGAAAGTGAAGGAGTCAGAATTTGGTCTGAAATAGAAATATTTTTCTGAATGTTTGAACAAGTTATTATAGGAAACTTCGTTTAACTGCTGAGTTTATTATTTCTATTTTGGAGTTTTTTTTTATGAAAGTGAAAATGTTTAAAAAAGTGAGTTTAAGTTTGGGGGCTCATTTCAGCACTTTTATGACAATTGATGTTCTTGAAATGACCTGATTGATTGTGAATACAAACTTATTGATTATCCATCAGAAGTTCTTGTTGGACAGTCAACGTCCAAACTTTACAGTCGGACAAATGCTGCCTCCTGTTGGCCGGATGAAGGTGTGTTTGAAAAGTGTCATACCTATTTTAGACTCAGACAGCTCGTCATGATCTGACCCATATCCCCCGTCCATCTGTCTCCATGACGACTGGCTCTCAGAACAGGTGTTAACATTTGTACCTGCTGACAGAGACAGACGGATCAGTTCAGACTATCAGATGTATTTACCGTTAGAGATATGAGCAGAACTCCGGGAGCGGCTCTCACAGATCCTCCTGAGCTGCTGTGACAGCTGAGAGCTCAGCCTCAAATCCAGACTAAAGCTCCAGGTAAGCCTGATAGATTGGCAAGATGGCCGCCATGCCAGTTTGTTCACATCATGGGGCGGTTTGGGTCTGCGACACTCCACAGAGACCATCTGATAGAAACCACATATGCAGCAGGTTACAGGTCCTGTCAGAACCACACCAGAGCCACAAATGGATTCAACTGGTCCCTGAAAATACAGACAAACCGACTCACCCCGACTACGACAACCATGGACTGAGGACTTCTTTACAGACTCTGATCCAGATCACCATCCATTCAGATAAACACACTGACATTTAAAGACGCAGGAGATCAAACTAAGAACCAGTAAAACTAAAAATGACCACAAACTGTCCAGAGAGACTTTCTTAAAAGAAAAGTGAAGATTCTTCTTCACGAGAACATTCGTCTTATCCTGTTGTTGATCATTGCAGCTCCAGGTCCTATACTTGGTGGGGTTGTCCCAATACTATGTTCTCACTTCCGATATGACACCGATATTGCAACCTTTAATATTGTCCGATACCAATATCAATCTGATATCAGCACTCCACCAGTGATACATCCTTTCATGACTTATTTTGTAGAGTGGAATTTTAGAAAAGGCTGCATCAAGTGATTTTACTCAAACAGAGAACAATAGTCTGCAACAGTTGTTTGGGAAAACTGACCCATTTATTATTAACAAAACAAATAGAGGAATAAATAAAAATAAATTGGGAGGTCTTGAATAATAGATAAAAGAATGTAAACAAAATAAACATATTACTCTAATAACAAGAGCAGAAAACAGTCAGTCAACTTAACTCCTGACTACCCTTACTACTCCTCCATCTCCACTTTCTGCAGTCCAAGCGTGATGTGGCTTGAGCTCCATATGTCGGTGGTGAGGCTAACAGCATTTGCTTTCTCCACATGTGCGGCAATACACTTTTTAACTTCTTTATGCATCTGAGGTATAGTTTTGTCGACAATGTAGTGGCAACTAGGGATAACATTACGTGGCTCGAGGTGCTCAATTAAGCATTTAAACCCGACATTGCTCACCACCGACAGGGGCTGGTCATCAAGCACAATAAATTGGGCTACCTTTTCTGTCATAGCCGATGCCTTTTTGCCGTCCCGTGGGAGTTTTTCCCACTTTGCAAATGTTTCGGCCAGCATTGGTTGTTTGAGAAAGGTAGAGGTAAGATTTTTCTTTGCCCCAGTGATCTTTTGAAAATCCTCATGCTGTTGTTTGTGGTGTTTTTCAAATGCGGTTGGTCGTATTAAACTTCCCCTGTTCTGTGCCACCACAGGAAACTTGTGCATGACACAGCTGAGTTTGCACTCAGCTGCAACGTCTTTGTCTGACTTTAGGGAAAAGTAGTGCCACACAGCCGACATCACTTGTTCTTGTAACACATGCGCTGTTGTTGTGATTACGTGCGTTCTACATGCTGGAGCCGGGCGCTCTTCCTCTTTGGCAGGCAGCACCAGCATTGGTTTCTTACCGCCACCAACTGTGTTGGAGTGGGAACCATTGTCACCTCATGTAGTGCAGAAACGCTGAAGCAGAATAAACAGCTTTTATTGGAGCATTCATATCGGACATTTTAGATGCAGTCTGATAGAATCCGATATTCATTTTTTTGCTGATATCTGACCGATATCTGATATCAATATCGGATCAGGACAGTACTTTTTTTTTTTTTTTTTAAATCCCAGGATAAAAAAAGATCTCTACATGTCAGGTGACCGAGGTTTAGATCAACCTTCTCATCCGAAAAAAAATCAAAGATTTGAAAATAAGAACTGACTTTGTGTTTGGGGTTTTTCAGGCTTTCTTCTTCAGTCCTGAACTCCAAAATATTTATCTCTGTTCATGTCTTCAGATGTCTCGGTTCCTGGATATGAAGGAGTTTGGAGAAGCTGCTCACTATCTCCGCCTCACCAACCTGGAGCAGCTGGCAGCCAAAGCCCAGGCCTTCGATGGTGGGTAAACCTGTGTTCAGAACTCTGACCCGGTCTGTGTGGATCTATAAATCTGAGGTTTAGTTCTGACTAAGTTTGATCGGACTCCCTCAGGTACAAAGCGTGTTTGGTTGCCCGATGATACCGAAGCCTACATCGAAGTGGAGGTTAGAGAGCTGAACGGAGATAAGACCACGGTGGAGACCAAGGATGGACGGGTCAGTCCATCTTTTTATTTCAGCACCACTTTCAAGGTTAAGAATCTAAATTAAGGAGGAGGAGGCAGGAGGAGGCAGGGGAGGAGGCAGGGAGAGGAGGACGCAGTTGGATGAGATGGGGGAGGAGGAGGAGGCAGGGAGAGGAGGAGGCGGGAAGAGGCAGGAAGAGGATGAAGGAAGAGGAGGAGGCAGGGGAGGAGGAGGTGGGGAGGAGGCAGGAGGAATAAGGAAGAGGATGAAGGAAGAGGAGGAGGCAGGCTGAAGACCTTTATCTAAAAGGACCATTTTCACAGTTACCATGGTAACTCAGCTAACCTGAATCCTAAACCGACTTTATTTCAGATTTGATCTGATTTTATTTTTCCCAGTTGGAGCTGCAGACCAAAAATTCTCAACCAATTTAGAGGAACTTGATATCAGACACCAGGCTTGGAGGCACATACCTTCACCCAACTCATAAGACTTCAAAGTCCACATGAAGGTCCAGATGTTTGTCCTGATGTGGTTCTGAAACCCTCCTGGTTCTTATGTTTGTGTGTTGCAGTTCCTGGTGGTCAAAGAAGAAGACCTTCAGCCCATGAACCCTCCAAAGTTTGACATGATGGAGGACATGGCCATGCTGACTCACCTGAATGAAGCGTCTGTCCTCTTCAATCTGAGGAGGAGATACAGCATGTGGATGATCTATGTTAGTATCAGTTCTTGGATAGCTGGATCAGAAGGAGACTTTGGGGACCAGAACCTGAAAAGAAACAGGAAAATACCAAAAATTAAAAAATGAACTGTGCACCAGTTCTAGCATTGATGCAGAGTCGAGATGTGACATTTGCGAACAAGTAGGGATGGGGATCAAGAACCGGTTCTTGTTGAGAACCCGTTCCAAATGGTTCAGTCCATCGACATCATTTACATTTTATCTTAACGATTCCCTTAACGATTCCTTTCTTCCGGGTGCGTTTAAAAACAATCTCACGGGTGCCAGTCTACATGACCAGGAACAGAGACAGAGAAAATAAAATGGCGGACGGTACGAAAAGTCGGCAGAAACGATCAAAAGCGTGGCTTGATTTTACTAAGAAAGATGACAACAGTGCAACATTTGTGGAGCAGTGATAACATGCAAAGGTGGGAAACACCAGCAACATGCTTTAACATTTGTCAACGGGGCACGGCATCAAATATAAGAAGTCACATGTATTTGGTGCTCGCCGCCAGTGTTGTGCCTATGAATGCATCCCATCTGCTCATTAGCTTCTTTAAGTGGAAGAAACATGATCTCATACTTAAAAAGAAAACACAAGTATTGGATCATGACAACATGTCAAATGGAGCAGCAAACTTTCGTTCTGTTTTTATGTCTCTAAAATGCACAGAGAGGTGTACTTGGGTGTATAAACTCTACAGTAAACTGTCAAGGTAGAGAATATTATATTTTCGCGACAGCAGATATTCTGAATCAGAGGACCATTGTTTTTGGCTTATCTAAATAGTCTGAATGAAATAATTAAAGTCACATGCTTTAGAATCCACCAAATGGTAAGGAAAACTTGGATTATTTCACCTTGTTATGTACTTTGAACCGCGCTCCCATCAGGGGGGCATTCTATGGCACAACACCTGTTGAACACCGGTCGTCAGCCGCTGCTGCTCCGTCTCAGCATGGCATTAAAGGTACGTACTGTATGTCAGAGTGACCATATGTCCTCTTCTACCCGGACATGTCCTGTTTTGGGGGGCTGTTCGGGGGAGTATTAAATCCTTCAAATGTCCTGTATGGGTTTTCATTTATTATAAAACACTGCAGCGCATCAGTGCACTCTGCAGCTCTGCCCCTCCGCTCACTTTAGCCACCGATGCTACGCAGCATGCACCTCTGTCTTTGGGAATTCAGAATATGCGTTTAACTGAGTTAGAAGCGCATATAAAACACTTGACCTTTCCAAAAAAAAAAACAACTCGAAATTTTGCACACAAGTCCACCCAATCTTATTGTCCTCTTTCTGGGTATACAGAATATGGTCACCCTAACATATGTCCTGTGTTAACATGAACACAATGTATGCCAGAAATGCTGTAGAAATAGAATTTCTGTTTGACTATTTTAGATTCTCACTAAAGGTGGCAAACATCTGTTTCTGTTATCAGAGACTAAATAAAATTTTGAGTTAATGGTGAAAACCTATGGTCTGCTTTTATTTTTTTTATTAAAGAAAGGCATTGATAAGGGAATCGTTAAAGAATCTAGTCGATAAGCAGAATAGATAATGGCATCGATATTGATAAAATCTTATCAATTCCCATCCCTACAAACGAGTCAGTTTTTTGAACGGCTCTTTTAAATGAACCAGTTCACAGTAATGAGTCATCTGTTTGTGAACTGGTTTCTTTTATGCAGATCGTCTGCTCTGTAGTGATCTGCTCTCTGCATCATTTTAAGGTGAAGGAAAAAATCAAAATAGTGATCTTAGTGTGGCAGCATGGTCATCTGGCGCCACCTCATTTTTACACTGTAAACACGAGTCAGATGAAATTGATAATCACAATTTCAGAATAATCCCACCCACAAGTACCCCTAAAAAACAAATATATATAACAACGAGCCGGTCTTTTGAACAGCTCCTCAGGATCTGACTCCCTATAAAGACCCATAAATCCTCTCATGCAGAGTTCCTCTATGGTCTTTCTTGTGGTTTTGGACCGGGGACACGGAGTTTCCTTGTGGACTCGTTTTTCTTTAAATTTCTGACATTTCAGCAGACGTCAAAGAGGACCGTGGTCATGCTTGTTGTTTGTAATCCTTGTGTCTCTTCCTCATCAGACCTACTCCGGTCTGTTCTGTGTGACGATGAATCCCTATAAATGGCTGCCCGTCTACTCTGCTGAGGTGGTGGCGGCCTATAAAGGACGCCGCCGTCTGGACACACCCCCTCACATCTACGCCATCGCTGACAACGCCTACACTGACCTGCTGCAGAGTAAGTCACCTGTGATCATTAGCCCATAAGTTATTCATTAGCTCATTACTGAGTTATTCCACCAACCACAGCACTGTCACATTCATGTGGATTTTTCTAAAGACAAAAATCAGAGATTTTAGGTTCATTTAGGACAACAGGGAACTAGGAGAGAGGGAGGTGTGACTGACTGGGGCCTCATTTATCAATCAATCAATCAATCAAATTTTATTTATATAGCGCCAATTCACAACAGTCGTCATCTCAAGACGCTTTTCAAGGAACAAGAGCAGGTCTGGACCACGCTCATTGTTTGATGATTAAGAACCAACCTAAGATGGGTTTTGGCCCATCTCAACTAACATGAGTTACAGTGGCAAGGAAAAACTTCCTTTTAACAGGCAGAAACCTTGGGCAGGACCAGCCTCATGCTAGACAGCCACCATGCCGCTGCTGGGTTGGGGAGGAATGTAGAGAGAAGAGGGGAGAGGGGGAGAGGACAGGGGGAGGGAGAGAGACAACAAGATAGGGGAAAGGCGAGAGAGAATTAGTACGGAGAGGGAGGGGGAGGGAGAGAGAGTAGAGAACGAGGGTGAGAGAGAGACAGGAGGCAGCAGGAACAACAGCAACAACAAAAACAGCTCATGTAATGGTGAAACAAAAAGAAGTTCAGTTTACAGGTTTAGGATATGAGTGATTATGGACAATGTTGAATTAATTGAATGCGATTACAGTTAGCAGGCTTAATCGTAGTCAGTTCTATTTTGTATTATTAATGTCAATAATGACAGTGAGGCTGATGTTCATGTCTGCAGTAACAGTAACAGCAACAGTCCAGAGGAATCAGAGAGAAGAAGGAGCTCAGGGCCGGGGGGGTCTGCAGCAACGGTCCAGAGGAGCCAAAGAGCCAAAGAGTTGGAGGAGCTCAGGGCCCAGGGTGGATGCAGCTGGGGTCAGGCAGTTCCGCAGCAGACCGTTTGCAGCATTAGTCCAGTGGCAGCTAAAAGACTCAGAGACACTCAGAGAGACAGAAAACTGGTCAGTGACTTATATGGGACATAAAGATCTAAAGAGGAGATAGAGACAGACTCTAGCTCAGTGTGCCAGATAGCCCCGGCAGTCTAGGCCTATAGCAGCATAACTAAGAGCTGGTTCAAATCAGCCTCGACTATAAGCTTTATCGAAGAGGAACGTCTTAAGTCTACTCTTGAAAGTTGAGAGGGTGTCTGCCCCCCGAACCTCGAGCGGTAAATGATTCCAGAGAAGAGGTGCCTGGTAGCTGAAAGCTCTTCCTCCAATACTACTTTTAGAGACATTTGGTACAACGAGCAGACCTGCAGACTGTGAGCGTAACGGTCTAGATGGAAAGTACGGTATAACTAGCTCGTCGAGATATGATGGCGCCTGGCCATTAAGCGCTTTATATGTCACAAGGAGGATTTTAAACTCAATTCTATATTTAATAGGGAGCCAATGAAGAGAAGCTAAGACAGGAGAGATGTGCTCCCTTCTTCTGGTTCTAGTCAATACCCGAGCTGCTGCATTTTGGACCAGCTGAAGAGTCCTTAATGACTTACTAGAGCAGCCTGATAGGAGAGAATTACAGTAGTCCAGTCGAGAGGTAACAAAGGCATGGACTAGTTTTTCTGCATCACTCTGAGACAATATGCGTCTAATTTTTGAGATATTGCGCAGGTGGAAAAAGGCTGTCCTGGAAATTTGTTGAATGTGGAAGCTAAAAGATAAATCCTGATCTAATACAACTCCTAGATTTCACACAGTGGGGCTGGATGCCAGGCTGATACCATCAAATGTAGTTAAATTACTAGAGAACGCCTCTCTAAGGTGTTTAGGACCGAGGACCAGAACTTCAGTTTTGTCTGAGTTGAGCATTAGAAAGTTATTGGTCATCCAGGATTTTATATCTTTGAGGCAGGCTTCTAACCTAGCAACCTGGCCTGCTTCCTCTGGCTTTATGGATAGGTATAGCTGGGTGTCATCTGCATAACAGTGGAAATTAATCGAGTACTTCCTCATAAATTTACCCAGCGGAATCATGTACAGGGTGAAGAGGATTGGACCGAGCACTGACCCTTGCGGCACACCGTAGCAGACCTTGGTGTGTGCAGAGGATTCATTATTTACATTGACAAACTGGGATCGATCTGTTAGGTACGATTTAAACCAGGAGAGAGCTGATCCTGCTATTTTAGAAGATGACCTCGGTGCAAAAGTGCAGAAATGAACTACACGAAGACAGAATCAAGCTGGCAGCCTCTCGGCGGGGTTTTTATTCCAATCACAGCATCGAACAATAGCTCATGAGCAATCGAACAGACAGAACCAAAAAACAGCCCATCCACATATCTTTTATAGTCCTCCATTGACGTCAGGGACCTTAGTTTTAGCCAAATGTGCGTGCGAAAGTCCCCTTCGTGACTTTCTCTGCCACTATCTTTTGGAGCCAGATTTCCTGTTATTGCAATTAAGCTACCATGAGAGAGGGTCACCATGACCTGATATGAAGTTTATCCCAATCTGACCACTCCACCCATATCCTGTTTTCTTGCCTCATGGTAACCCCCAAAACATCCAAACATATCTGTTATTTTCCCCCACATATCCCCCCTTTGAATCTTTTCAAGATTAACCAAGTTCACTGATGCCGTTGGAGATTCACACTTATCTTGTCTTAGCCTTAGTTACGTTACATGAATGAGTTATGACAACGTTATGTGATATGGTACTACTTGATTGATTACAGATGCATATGTATGTTTTCAAACCATTCCAACTCATGCTCGTGATCACGAATGTTACATTTTCACAAATACAACACTTAAATCCCTCGGTTCACATCTGGCAGGGGCGAAAACCTGCTGGCTGCTTTGAGCAGGAAATTCCCCTGCGGCCCCTCCCGCTGGCGACCTTTACCGTGAACCTTCTAAATCTAACAGCTTTTCACTGACCCACTCTACATGACAATCAACCACATGTTTTATTGCTCAAAAAATGATTAACCATTTCCTTTACCTGTTTCCATTTACCTGGAATGAGTATGTGTAAATGATGTGAGTATGCAGAGTACACATGGATAACTGCAGGATATGTGTGTATTGGTATGATAGTCCATTATGCAGAATACACCTGGATAGTAACAGAATATGCGTGTATTGATATGATAGTCCATTTGCTCCGCCGTCCCATTTGCTTTTCCTTTTGCTCGCTCGCTGCTGCTGCACCTCTGCTCCTTGTTTACCTTACACTTGACTCAGTTCGTCCTCATCATAGTCACCCACACAGGCAGGGTTCGGGTACAAGTCCGTATAGTCCCCGTTTCCCGCCTTGCTGTCATTCAAGCAGAGTTGTGCCATTTGGGACGGCGTCAGCAAGTCCAACATTTGAGCTTTTTGGAGACCAGTCGCCACAGTCATCTGTCTGTCCAGAGCCCGCAGACACTGCCTCCTCAGGATGGGGATGATGCAACATGTCAAAAAGGAAATTAGAATTAGGACTGCTAATGCACTGAGTCCTATCTTAGCCCAAACGGCTCCCCATTTTCCTAAAATTTGGTCTAACCAATCCCATGACAGTCCCCCCTTGCCCGCACTCTCCCTGAGCTCAACTCTGAGTTCTGTAAGCTTCCCCATTGCCACAGAAAATATACCATCAGGGGCTGTGTTATTTGGAATAAAGGTACAACAATGTTTCCCGAACATGTGACATACTCCTCCCCTATCGGCTGTCAGCCAATTCAAAACCTGTCTATTTTGTTGGGCCATTATACTTGCTGCGTGTAATTGAATACCGAGAGCGCTCAGGATCTCAGATGTCGCATTAACAAACCTCTGTTGGTTGTAATAAATGTAATTTATCCATTGGACATTTTTATTAGTGGTGATCCAGGGGAGAATCGACTCTAGACCTGCTCTAATCTCATCCTGAGCTTTAAACTCCTCTGGAATTCCTATTGGCACTCCTATACTATTGATGTACACCTTTTCGTCAATCTGCCTTTTATGGCGGTTCAATTTGGCTGTTTCTTCCGGGATTTTAAGGATCTCCTCGACGCCGTCATACAACACGACAACTGGCACTTTCATTCGCACTAATGTACAGAGTCCAATCCATTTTGGTGGAAGTGTGTTTCGCACAATGTTGTCTCCACACATCCAATAACTGTCAGCTACTGCAACAGTTTGACTTGCGAAAAACTGCATACTCGGTCTGGTCATAGTTATGTTTTCACATGTTTGATCTAACGTTTGCTCTGGATTTTCAAACCAAACTGGTCTAGTTATGAATGGTTCGCTCATATTAGCTTCAGGAAACCATGACAATACCCACGTAATTTTACAATTAACAGTTGTGTTTCCCACCTGGACTCCTTCCCCTGGTTTATTCATAAACCCTCCACTGGCGAAACACTCGTAATTACTCATGTCGTCTACTTTGTAGTTTGTAGGGGGCTCGTCTTGTGACGTTGTGGTGGCGAATTCTTTACATGTCTGGCGAAATTTACAGTCTACGCACGTTTCTAAATACCCATGATGAGATCCTGACCCATACAGAAGCCTACATCGAACACCACACATTGGAAGCCCGTAGAGTGATGGCACCTGCGGATTGGGAGTGAACTCACTGCTTCTACACTTTTGCTGTTGAACTTTAGCGCATTCTTCGTGCGTATATTTCTCTGGTACTACAGTGGGAAGTGTCGTTGGGGCTTCAGCACACACGATGCATTCACTAGGGGTCATCTGTTTTGCGGTATACATAGCCCATTGGTACCACCCATTCACACTGGCCTCTTCCCAAAGTTTATCTGAGTACGATTTTACACTTCTCTGCATGGGCCTGTCAAAACTTCCCACTTTACCTGGACTACCATCGTAATCATCGTACTCATCATACAGTGTATCTGGGGTCGTTTCACTTGGTGTTGTCGATGTGCTTGGTGTTGTCGATGTGGATACCTTACTCAATTTGGCCTCTGTTGCAGTTACTACGATTGGGTTGTGATTTCCCTTTGGAGTTGGTGTGACCGAATTTACAGTTTTCGGATTTGGCGCGGTCGCGCTGCGAACTTCTGTTGGAACCAATGCATTTGAATGGCGATTCCCTACTGAAGCCGGAGTTCTTGAATGGGAATTTCCGGTCGGTGTTGGTGTAGTCAAATGGGGAACTTTTGTCGGTTCTAGAGTGGTAAACACTCCCTGACCTGTCGTTGTAGCGGTCGGCTCAACCCTTTCTACCTGCCCCCTGTTAGGAACTCGCCACGGAAGTGCACGTTTTGCGGCTCTTCCCCCACTTGCTATACTCGTAAGGTCGAGAATGTAGGTTTCATTTGGAGTAAACTTGTCTTCATCAAGCTCAGCTACCCATTGGCCCGCCTCTTCGAATACTGTTAACCCACACTCAGCTCCACCCCACATCGTTACATCCTGATTATACTGATGGGCCAAACCGCAAAGTACATTTGTTGTCATTTCGGTCTCAACTTCCTCAACTTCCAGCACCCGCACATCTCGTCTGTATAGACTGCTTGATACTGTCTGTGGCGGAATGTGTAGTCTTATTCTCCCGTTAATCATTTCACTTTTGAGTGGTGCTTCATGCAAAACTCTTGGATCCGGTGTTTCCTCTCTGTCTAGTGTCAGTGTTTCTCGGACCTCTCTGCCCTCACCATTCCCACGCAGGCCCACGACAGCATAATACGTCTTAACTGGACTGAAGTGAGTTGCTATCCTGACGATAATCTCAAGTTTCCCTCTCACCCTCAGAATGATTTGACAAGCGTCCTGCCCCCATTCTTGTTCCTGACTACCTTTCTTCACTCCGCACAATTGGGTTCGCACATAATCTCGTGACACGACCATTACCCCGTATGTTATGTTTCTGTTTTTCATGCTATCGGGTATGTCCATGCTAGCGCGCCACCGCCACATCGTGTGTACAGCTCTTTTACCCCGTGTTCGTCCATACACTACTTGGTGCGGCATGTTTATGTGTTTGAGCTCAGCTGAGAGTGCTGGCTCAGAGTTCAGCATGTCATGGATTGGTGTCTGTGTGGTTGCATCATACTCATCTGATTCAGATGCTCTGTCTCCTCTGCCGTGCGGGTTGGTCTCTGGCGTGGCTCTGGTCCCCGGGGTGCTCTGTTTTCCCCTTTGAGTCTCTAGCTCCACTGCTTCTACAGGCATCCATAGAAGAGAGTTCATTACCACCAACACACACCACAATGTCATGTTTTTCATCTTTGTTTTTCAACTCAATACCGCCCTTGGTTTTGCCTGGAACTTTCGTGCAGTGCGACAGGTGATACCACGTCCCGCTCCCTTCGACCTGGACTGCTGTGGGAGTAGCTCGCACCACCGTGTACGGTCCTTCCCGTCGTGGTTCGTGCCACTTCCTGCGGAAGACCTTGACGTACACTTGGTCACCCGGCACCACTGGTTTCACGACCAGCTCGTCTTTAACTGGTTCTCTCCTTTTTTCCTGCAGGTAGATAGTCTTATGTATTGCTGTTAGCTGGTTCATATAATCTTTCAATTCTATCTGCAGCTGTTCAAGGGGAGGTCCTTTATACGGACCTCGCAACTGTGGTGCTGGCATCGGTCGACCCGTGAGCATTTCATGCGGCGTGAGATGCGTGCTTCTGTGAGTTTGCATGCGGTAGCTCATTAGTGCAAGCGGCAAAGCATCTACCCAGTTAAGCTTTGTACTGGCGCAAATTTTGCTGATTTTTGCTTTCAGAGTTCCATTAATCCGCTCTACCATCCCGTTACTCTGGGGATGGTACACAGCAGACAGTCTTTGCTTGATTCGGAGCTGCTGGAGGACCCCTTTGGCAACTTTATGTACAAATGCTGAGCCGCTATCTGAGCTTATTTCTGACGGGATGCCAAACCTTGGAATGACCTCCCTGGTCAGAAACTTGACCACTGTTTCTGATCCTAGAGTCTTTGAAGGAACGGCTTCTACCCAGCGTGAAAATCTGTCTATGATGACCAACATGTAGCGCTTTCCGTGCACTGACTTTATCATGTCAACATAGTCTATGGCTAGGTGTTTAAATGGTCCCTCGGGGACCGGAATGTGTCCCACTGGTGTTTGTATTGCTTTTCGAACGTTGTTCTGAGCACAAACATCACATTGACTTAGTACTTCGTCAACCATCGCTTGCATGTATGGTGACCAGTACCCTTGCTGTTTTATCTTTTTTACCACCTCCCCCCTTCCACAGTGATCCACACTGTGTACTTGGGAAATCAGAATGGTCAGGAGAGGAACCGGTGCCACCAAAAACCCATCATGCGATCTCCACAGTCCTATTTTATCTGCCGACGCCCCCCTTTGACGCCACAGATTATGCTCATTCTCACCGGCCTCCTCCTGCATCATCACGATGTCCTCGGGTGTTACTGTAGGCTCAAGTAACACCAACGGGGCCAACACGGCCACTTCACACCTGGAAGCAGTTTTCGCAGCTTCGTCGGCCGCGTTGTTTCCCCTTATGACAACCTCATTTCCCTTACGATGAGCTTGACATTTAATGATCGCAAGTTTCGTTGGCAACATCATTGCAGACATTAACTCATTTATTTGATTACCATGTTGTATTGGGCTGCCATCTGTCTTCCTGAATCCCCTCTGTCTCCACAGAGAACCGAACAGATGACATACACCATGTGCATACGCTGAGTCCGTGTAAATATTAGCCACTCTTCCCCGCGCTAATTTACACGCTTCAGTCAGCGCTTTTAGTTCAGCCAACTGGGCTGAACATGGTTGGACACAACTCTCAGCTTTCTCCGTCACAAACTCATCAGCGTCTTGCCTCACCACAGCAAAACCTGCATGGTTCCCCAGATGGTCTCTGAAACATGAACCGTCAACATAATATGTTACATCTTCGCCAATCAGCGGAGTTGACTCGAGATCGGGTCTCAGTTTTGTGTATCTCATTGTCTCGGCAATACATTCGTGAGGTTCTCCCTCATTTTCCAGAGGAATCACCATTGCTGGATTTGAGGTGGGACACTTCTTTATTGTTACATCTGGGTAGGTTAAAAGTGGCGTGTACTGCAAACATCTTGCCTGAGTTACGACAAACTTCCCTTGGTTTATTAACTCACTGATTTTATGATGCGTGAATATGGTCACTGGATACCCCATGGTTATCGAGGACGCCTTTTCGTACGCAAAATGCACTGCAGCCAAACCTTGGTAGCATGGTGGCCATCCCTGGACTACATTGTCTAGTTTAGTGCTGTAGTATGCTATTGGTTGTTTTTGTCGCCCACTACAGGTCTCTTGTATCAATACCGCTGTCGCGTACATGTCTGCTCTGTTTGACACGTACAACGAAAATGGTTTGTCATAGTTTGGAGTGGCAAGACACGGCGCCCTCTGCATTTCTTGCTTCAACGCCTCGAATGCTGACATTGCTCCACTTGTCCATTTTAGCTGAGCTTTCAGTGATTCGTTGCCTGCTTCTTTAATCATCCCTCTCAAGGGAGCCGTCTTCTCAGCATAGTCTTCGATCCAATCAGAGCTGTATCCCGTCATTCCTAAGAATGTCATCATCTGTTGCACTGTTCGTGGGCGCGGAGTTTTGCTCACACCTTCTACCTGCGATGGAGATATCGCAATGGTACCATGTGAAATAATCCTTCCCAGGTATTCGACTTGTGGTTTGCAGTACTGGAGTTTTGGTTTTGAGACTTTATGTCCCCCCTCCGCCAGTCTCTGGAGTACTTTAACCGAGTCTCGATGGCAGTCGTCCAACGAGGACGAACAGATCAGCAGATCATCCACATACTGTATTAGCGTGCTATTGATTGCTAGATCCTCTAGCTCTTGTTTGAGGACCTGGTTAAACACATGTGGACTGTGCTTCATACCCTGGGGGATTCTTGTGTATGTTAGCTTCCTTCCTCTGTACGTAAATGCAAATAGGTGTTGTGACTCCTCAGCTAATGGGATGCTAAAGAATGCTGAGCACAGATCAATTACTGTGAAAAATTTTGCATCGGCCGGAACGTTAGTGAGGAGTGTGTGTGGATTTGGCACGTCAGCTGGTAAATCTTGTATGATGTCGTTTACAGTTCTCAAATCATGCACCAGCCGGTACTTAGATTTGTCACTTTTAAGAACTGGAAAAATTGGTGTGTTGCATGTACTGTTTGTTTCAACTAGTACACCTGCTTTTAACAGTCCCTCTATTGTCTTACTTATGCCTGCTTCAGCTTCCGGTTTTAATGGATACTGCATGCGGCATGGTAAACACACATTTGGCTTGAGCTCAATTGCTACTGGATTGGCCAATTTAACGAGTCCCACATCGGTGTCGTGCTTGGACCACAGGTGGTCCGGAACCCGTGTCGCCATATCCGTTAGGAGCCCATTTGCGTCTCTGTCTTCCTCTGCAAGGACTGGCTGTGTGATAACTTCAGGAATGATTATCACCTGTGGTTTAGCTGTCATTTCTGTTTGGCACTGAATCTTCACCATGTCCCCTTTCTTTGACACAGAGATTAATGGATTGTCTGTTTCCTCCCATTCTGCCTGAGTGGCTGTGCGCATCATTGGTCCCAGGTCTTTGGATCTAAAACCTTCATTTACCAACAACGTTATGTGTGGCATGGACTCGGGTACGTTGTACCACTGAGAAATAAATGGGTTATTTTGCACGTCTAAAGCTGCACCTTGGTGTCCCACGATGATAGACTGTGACTTTAGATCTACTTTTACGTTTTTAGTGTCTCTGTCCCATTTCTCCTCAAAGGCTTTGCTTCCTGATGTGTCATAATACATGGTGCAGTGATAATCAGAGAATGGTTCTGTGGCTTTCGGGAGTTGCGCCCGAATGTATTTCTCCCACTCCTGAAATGATTTTTGTACTGGCGCGGTGATGCCACCCAGCCAATACACTTTGGCACCCTCTATCTGCGTGCACATTTGTGTTGCTAACCCTGCACCGTCTATATACACCCCGAGTGGAGAACACCAGATTTTGATTTTTAGTTCACATAATGCATCTCTTCCCAGCAGATTGATTGGAGTTTGATCGGATACCAGGATTGGAATTTTAATTTCGTCTGTTTCTGTTGTTATGCGCACTGGAAATGTCATAGGAATTAACTGTTTCTTCCCCGAGAATCCCACCGTCTTCACACATTTGCCTGAGAGGGGGAGGTGCGTAGCATGCTCAGGACTCACGCATGTGTGTGTTGCTCCAGTGTCTACTAACATGGGGGTTTGTTTATCTTCAATTTTTACATTTATCATAGGTTCTGTATCAGCTCCCACAATGATTACAGGCAACTGATCCTCCCCCGTGGGATTCTCTGGGCACCCCTAATATCCATGGTTTGGACCCGCCCAAGGATTGACTGGTCCTCCACCTCTTCGTTGCGCAGGCTGAGCTCCACGACCACGCCCTGCCCAGTCGGGGCCCGCTCGTGGATTTGGGCACCCACGTGACATATGACCAATCCTCCCGCAGTTCCAGCAGGCCTTTGGTTCCTGCCCCCCTCTTCCTCCTTGTCCGCCCCCCCTTCTTTGCATTGGCTGTCTCGGCGGGCCATAGTAGGGAGGCTCGGACGTTTGCTGTGGATATATGTTAACAACTGGTGTTTGTTGAGGGGGCGTTGGTCCCGGTTGCGGAGTTGGGGGTGTGGTCTTCTGTGTGATCTGCGCCGCCTGGCTCACTGCATCCATCACCACCGCACCCTGAGTTTTTGATTTGGTTTTGTTTTGTAGTTCACCGAGCTGCATCTGGGCCAGCTTCCTTTGTAAGTTTTTGTCTTGGTCTTTATTGTTCTGCTCATCTTTGCGATATTTCTCGACTGCATGTGTTATGTGATCGCAAAATTGCCTGTGCGGCATTGACGTCAGTCCCACCACATCCTCCAGTCTGCTGCGACATGGGGTTGGCAGGGCATCCACCACTGCATTCCTGAACAGGATAATCAGCGTCGGGCTCTTGTCCACCTCCTCCTCTGTTTCCTGTTTCCATCTTTTGAGCATCTTGTTAATGTATGCAGTTGGGTTTTCGGTCTCTTGGAGCGGTTCCCCTTTCAATGCTTTGGGGTCCGTTCGGGTTGGGTATTCTTTGCGTAACGCCTGCCACAGTGTGGTGCGATACGCGTTAAACTCTGTCCCATCCGCTCTTGGGTCGATCATCCATCCATTATCACTTTGTCGTAAGATGTTATTCATTGTGGGGGCTCCAAATGTTTGGGCCCACACGGCCTTGATGTCTCCCAGAGCTAGCAGTTTTCAGAAGATTCTAGGTTCGGCTCCTGGCTGGCTCGCCAATTATTTAGAAGATGACCTCGGTGCAAAAGTGCAGAAATGAACTACACGAAGACAGAATCAAGCTGGCAGCCTCTCGGCGGGGTTTTTATTCCGATCACAGCATCGAACAATAGCTCATGAGCAATCGAACAGACAGAACCAAAAAACAGCCCATCCACATATCTTTTATAGTCCTCCATTGACGTCAGGGACCTTAGTTTTAGCCAAATGTGCGTGCGAAAGTCCCCTTCGTGACTTTCTCTGCCACTATCTTTTGGAGCCAGATTTCCTGTTATTGCAATTAAGCTACCATGAGAGAGGGTCACCATGACCTGATATGAAGTTTATCCCAATCTGACCACTCCACCCATATCCTGTTTTCTTGCCTCATGGTAACCCCCAAAACATCCAAACATATCTGTTATTTTCCCCCACACTATGCCTATAGATTGTTCTAGTCTCTGAAGCAGGATGGAGTGGTCAATTGTGTCAAATGCTGCACTAAGATCTAACAGGACTAGAACAGAGAGAAAACCACTGTCCGAGGCCATGAGTAGGTCATTTGACACCATTTATCAACCATGTGTCTGTACAGATGTATTTTCTTAATGAGTGTGTACGAACATTCCCACGCAAAGTCTGGAATTAGTCAACCAGTACTTGTTCTTAGGAACGTGAGTAAATGGAAGCCCAACTCTGAGCATGCTTACACACAAACCCTAGTGGTAGAACAGTGAAACTACAACTAGAACCCATGAAAGCAGTCAAAGCGTTTAGTAATCTCAAACTTCACACATGTTCTCTGTTTCCTCTGTACATAAATTGATCAATTAGTTATTGATCAGACATTTTGAATGATTGGTGTGACAAGCTATAAAATCAGCTGTGACAGGACAACCTCAAAAGACTGACAAGTACAAATACAAGTATCATGGTTCTGTTTTGGACTATTGGAGGACTTGGAGAAGCGTCTGCTCCTCCTCAGGGAGCGCATTTTCTAAGAGCGTGCTGATCTGTTCAGTGAGAACACAGAGTGGATTCTCAGCAGGTACCGCTTCCCCAAAAACATTCGAATGGATTTATGATCCGTGATTTGCAACCCGTGTTGGAGCGAGAGACATAACGCACCAAAGCCATCCCAGTGACCATCCAGCTCCTGTCCACCCTAACCCAAACATTTCAGCCTGAGGTTGGAGACATATACGACATTTCACAGCCAATATCCAGTTCCAAAACACACATCACCAACAAGCCGAAATAAAATGAGGATTTTACGCCATCGCCGGATTCCCAAACATAATTGGAGCCATAGATTTCACCATATCGTAATAAAAGCACCTTCACGCAATAAATTCAGTTTAGTCAACAGGAAAGGATTTCATTCAATCAATGATCAATAATCTGAGATGCACATATGGATCTGTTAAACATTGTTGGAGGAATGCATGACTCCTTCATTCTGCAGAACAGCTCTGTGAGTGTGCACCTCCATGATTTCAGCGAGGGGGAAAAAATCCATTCAGGCATTTTTATAGGGATTGTTGATACCATATATGGTCAATTGGAGGCGTTTCTGAATGTAAATGACCCTAACCATGAACGAGCACGCTAGGAAAGAACAGGTGGAATTTATCATCACAGATTACTTACTAGCGTGTGTACAACTGGTGTCCCCATGTTTGAGAAATACAGATTTTTTTGTTCTTTCACACATTAGACATTTCATTCCTACGACAGAATTTAGAACCTTTTCTACGCACCATTGATAAATGAGGACCCTGGTCAGGACAGTTTTGAAGTGGGTCACTAATACTCTTATGGTAGTAGTAGTAGTATAGAAGTACAGTAGTTATCAGCTTTCAAGGAGGATTTCAGGGGAAGATGATGAGAATGAGTCAAAATGAAGAGGAAAACCTAACAAGACTAAATCCTCCTTCAGGCTGTGAAAGGGGGCAGATTGGAGTCAGGTGGAACAGCTGGACACACAAGGTCCAGAGTACAATTTGGAGGTCTTCACAGTCCAGTAAACTTGACCTGTTTATATGAGACAGGTGTGAGTATTCACAGAGTATTCACACAGGAGGTTTAATTAAAGACTAAAAAGACTCAGTTCTCTCTCACTGATCCTGGTCCAGGATTTTCCTTTTCTTCTCTCTTCCTGACTTTTGTTCTTTTTTTCCTTATCAGATCGTGAAAACCAGTCCATGCTGATCACGTAAGTCCGAAACTGAACTGCTGTAACAGGTAGGGTAGGTAGGAAGGTTGAATTTATTGTCCCCGTGAGGAAATTAATTTGCAGTAAGTTAAAAACATGCACAAAGACAGCATACCTACACAGTTCCATAAACTGTCCCATATAAAACAAAACAAAACAAAACAACTCAGAAAAGACAATATAAAAATACTACTGTATTGTACTTTGTTAATTCAAAAAAGTATTTCAATAAATAGTCTTTAAATAATGTATTTGGGCTCAGACCAGCTGAACCAGTATCTAAAAATAAAAAAAGAATAAAGCTGCCCACAATCTATTTTAGTTTATTCAATTGTAAAATCACCTGTGGTACAAACGACCGCCTGGACCTGTTCTTGGTGAGGGCTGGGCACCAGTATTTGCTGCCTGAGGGCAGCAGCTCAAACTCTCTAAGCAAGGGATGTTTTGAGTCTGAGAGTATTTTCTCCGCTTTGTCCAGGGCACAGGATAGATAAATGTCCTGTAGGCTGTCCAGGGGAATGCCTTGGATTTTGCTCGCAACAGTGATTATTTTTCTGAGGGAGCTCTTTTGCGACTATGTTAAAGCCTCGTACCAACAAACAATACAAAATGTCAGAGCGCTCTCAACAAAAGCACTGTAAAACACCCTCAGCATGGTTTTGTCAACCTGGAGTGACACCAGTTTCTTCAGAAAGTAAAGTCTCTGTTGTCCCTTTAGAACAAAACACAACACCACTCACTGCATGTCGCCCTAGTGCAGCGCCAACATGAAGGCAGACATGTCCCCCTCATGTTCACCTGGAGATTAGCTTAGCATGACCAGCAGCTCCAAACCCTAACCCTTATTTATCATCTCAAACTGTCAAAATCTTTTTTTCAGCCTCTGACTGAAAGTCTGTAGCTGCTTTTACTGAGGATTCGACATGGCTCTGCAGTCATGAAACAACCTGCTAGTTTTACCTTCGCAGAGAATGCCTGACGCTAGCACTAAGCACCCATTTAGCTAATTTTTCTGCGAGTAGTCAAGGTCTCTGGAGATTAAGAGCTGAGACTCAAATCCAGTTCATCCTGGTCTAACAAAGGAGTCCTCAGTGAAGGGCATTAGATGGTTTTCAATCTTTCCTGTTTTCTGACTTTCAGTCATTATAAGAAGAGTCCAGTCTGTGAAGGTTCACCGTTTTATCTGTATCCTGTTGGTCTGCTTTGTCCTCTCAGTGGTGAGTCTGGAGCCGGAAAAACCGTCAACACAAAGAGAGTGATCCAGTACTTCGCCATCGTCGCTGCGCTGGGAGAAAATATCAAAAAGGGAGTGAGTTCAGACTGAAACTGACGTACATGCATGTCTGTGTGAGATCCAGAACAGCCCAGATCCTCAGTGACACCTGCTGGGGGGGGGGGGGGGGGGGGGGCGTCAGAGAGAGGAACAGCCTCTCACAGCTGCAGAGTCACTCTCTGCCCACAGAGGGGGATGTTCCTGTGAGATCGTGTTGCTGCTGATTTGAAGAGAAGCTTTGAACAGAAGTAAATGTTAAGTATAACTTCACTCTGTCCATGTGGACCCAGGGATCTTTAGAGGACCAGATCATTGAGGCCAATCCCGCCATGGAGGCCTTTGGCAATGCCAAGACCATCCGCAATGACAACTCCTCTCGATTTGTGAGTTCAGACAGTCGTTAACTCTGCTAACGAGGCTGAAGCTGAGGACCACTGAAGTCTGATTAACATGTTTACGTGTTTTTATGTCTCAGGGAAAGTTCATCAGGATTCATTTTGGGCCGACAGGGAGGCTGGCGTCCGCTGACATCGACATCTGTGAGTCCCTCTGACCTTTGACCCTGTTTGTTCCTTAATTTACTTGAACTCCTCAAACTGTGTTTAGATGATTTCAGCAATGTAATGAAACTAAAAAGTTGACCTCAATACTGAGTCCATGTTTCAGGTCCTGACTCTGCTTCTTATTTGATCAGATCTTTTAGAAAAGTCCAGAGTCGTGTTTCAGCAGCCAGGAGAGAGAAGCTACCACATCTACTACCAGATTTTGTCAAATCAAAAGCCAGAACTACAAGGTAACCCCACCCACCACTGCAACCTGTCCAATCACAAGTCAGAACTAAGAATGAACCCAAATGACCTTCACCGACCATTGTTATCCAGGATTACGATCCTGTTTTTAATCGTACGGTTCATCAGGAGCTGCTCTGAAGTCCTTTGAGACGATTGTTCTGAAGGCTGGAGAGACCAGGTCCTCGTGATCCAAGCTAACACGTATAAAATGTTACACGAACGATCATCAGAATAACACTGACAGACAAGAGAAACACGTTTCCACGGTGACCGTCATTTTCTCTCTCCTTGTTGAAGAGTTCTTCTGCCCCCTTCTGGCCAAAAACAAGATTACATGTTTTTCTCTCTCTTCAGAAACACCAAAAGCTGTCTGCTCACATGCCTTTAGCGGTAAATCCATAACGTAACCCCATGTGTTGTTGTCTCGTGTTGCAGACATGCTGCTGGTGACCACGAACCCCTACGATTACCACTTCTGCTCTCAGGGTGACACCAAAGTGGAAGGGATCGATGATGGAGAGGAGCTGAAGCTGACCGATGTAGGAAGTTCACCCTGAACGCCCCACATCCTGTTCAGTCTGCCCACAAGTAAAATAAAACCAATTTGTCTGTCCATGCAGCACGCCATGGACACACTGGGCTTCACGTCGGAGGAGAAGTACGGCTGCTATAAGATCGTGGGCGCCATCATGCACTTTGGGAACATGAGGTTCAAGAAGAAGCAGAGAGAGGAGCAGGCCGAGGCCGACGGCACTGAGAGTAAGACACAGACAGGAGCGAGAAAATATACTCACGGAAATAAGCAAAGAAAAAAAGGAGGGAAAACACAGAAAGTGAAACAAGAGTTAAAACAGGAAACACTGAAAACCGAACCAAGAAACCAAACACTGAAAGACAGGTAGAGATGCCAGAAACATAAAGAATGATACCACAGAAGAAGAGCATCGGGAAAAATATGTAGAAAATGATACTAGAAGATCTTAACAAACAGAAACTGATTATAATAGAAAGTAAAGGAGAATAGAATAGCAAACAATAGAAAAGCATCGACTAGAATAAAATAAAGTGGATTAAACTGAATAAAATTGATCATAACAGAAAAGACTAGAACAGAATAGATCAGAATAGAAAACAATAGAATGGATAAGAATAGATCAGAAGCGATGGATGGGATGGGAATTGATAAGATTTTACCGATATCTGAATCCCCAAAGACAGCGCATGCGTACGTTGTGTCAGTGGCTTTGCTTAGAAGTGAGCGGAGGGGCAGAGAGCATTAATGCTCTGCTCTATTTTCTCGTCAATGAATACACGTTCAGGACATTTTATGAACTCCCCCAGACAGCCCCCCAAAAGTGGACATGTCCAGGTAAAAGAAGACGTATGGTCATCCTATCATATGTACCTTCAATGCCGTGCTGAGACTGGGCAGCAGCATCTGACAAACCAGTGTTCAACAGGTGTTGTGCCGTAGAATGCCTCCCTGATGGGGGCGCAGTTGAAACTACATAACAAGGTGAAATAATCCAATTTTTCTTACCATTTGGTGGATTTAAAAGCATGTGACTTTAATGATTTCATTCAGACTATTCAGATAAGCCGAAAAAAATAGCCCTCTGATTCAGAATATTTACTGTCCCGAAAATATAATATTCTCTACCTTGACAGCTTACTGTAGAGTTTATACACCCAAGTACACCTCTATATGTGCATTTTTGAGACACATAAAAACAGAACGAAAGTTTGCTGCTCTATTTGGCATGTTGTTGTAATCTAATACTCTATATATATGAGATCATGTTTCTTCCACTTTAAGAAGCTAATGAGCGGATGGGATGCATTCTACGGCACAACACCGGAGGAGAGCATGGTATTCATGACTCGTTATATTTGATGCTGTGCCCCATTGACAAATATTGAAGCATGTTGCTGGTGTTTCCACCTTTGCATGTTATCGCTGCTCGACAAATGTTGCACTGTTGTCATCTTTCTTAGTAAAATCAAGCCATGCTTTAGATCATTCTGCCTACTTTTCCGAACCATTCCGAACCGGTTCTCAACAAGAACCAGTTCTCGATTCCCATCCCTAATCAGAACAGAAGAGAATGGAATAGAATAGAACAGAATTGAGAATGGAGTTGATTGTACAGTATGATGGGAGGACAGATGATGTTATACGTTGATGTTTTGTGTACTTAGGTGCAGATAAGGCAGCATATCTGATGGGTATTAACCCTGCTGAGCTGATGAAAGGTCTGCTGAACCCTCGGGTCAAAGTGGGGAACGAGTTCATCGTGAAAGGACAGACAGTGGAGCAGGTAACCATCAACAATCACATCAGTCACAGTCTGCCTGATTTTCTGAGCTACATTCAAGATCGGCCCTGACTGTCCTTTCTAACGTGTGTTTGCAGGTGAACTATGCAGTGGCAGCTCTGGCTAAAGCCACGTATGATCGCATGTTTAAATGGTTGGTGAGTCGTATCAACTCGTCCTTATACACCGCTCTGCCTCGCCAATACTTCATCGGAGTTCTAGACATCGCTGGCTTTGAGATCTTCGAGGTAAATAGGAGCGATTGACTGTAAAGATAATGTCAAGATGCCTGGGATTCTTTGTGTTTTTACAAACAATCAAATCAAGATGCAACAAGGAGGCTCTGCTGTAAAAACCACAAAAATGCTGTTTATCTCTGTCTGCAGTTCAATAACTTTGAGCAGTTGTGCATCAACTTCACCAACGAGAAACTGCAGCAGTATTTCAACCACCACATGTTCATCCTAGAGCAGGAGGAGTACAAGACCGAAGGCATCGAATGGACCTTTATAGACTTTGGTTTGGACCTGCAGGCCTGCATTAACCTCATAGAAAGGGTGAGTTAGATCACCATCTTCTGAAATCTGACCTTTGTGTCACGCAGTGTGAGTTAATAAAGTCCTTGACAACTTTGAGATCCCACATTTTCCAACACACCATGAATCTGTTTCTGTTTCAGCCCATGGGGATTCTGTCCATCATGGAGGAGGAGTGTATGTTTCCAAAGGCCACAGACCAGAGCTTTAAAACCAAACTCTATGACAACCATCTGGGGAAGTCGCCAAACTTCCAGCGGCCGCGACTGGACAAGAAGCGCAAATATGAAACGCACTTTGAGTTGGTTCACTATGCTGGCGTGGTGAGGGTCAGCTGGTAGACTTACCTGTTGTGGGTTTTAAGGACTCAGTGAGGACTGACCGTGAATCTGAGATCTGAGTCATGAAAATGATGACAGGCTGACAGCCTAACATGGTTTTAATATAAGAGCAGCATGTCCCTACAATCTGACCTCAGATATTGAAGAGTGGTAATCTGTGCTCTTAAAAAAGTGAAGTACTAAAAACTCCAGTTTACTGAGTGTCCACAAGAGAGTGTCTGCAGAAACCACATACACACTTATCAAACAAACATGTTCACAGCCTGGTTCAGTACACACTTCATAAGCTCCCTCTGTACCCCCTTTCCGAAGGCATCAGCCAATCAGAGGTAAGGCTGACTTGACTGACAGGCAGGCACCGTAGCTATTTGTGAGGCAGCTCAAGTGTGCCCGCCCCTGATTGGTTGGCCAAAGGCAGGTGGAGTCAGCATTATCAATATGGAGAGCACTGCTGCTGACGTCGTGACCAACACTGCGTCCATTAGATTGTCTACATCCACAGATCTGTCCAAATAGGAAATCTAGAAGAAGTCACAATTCTCAGTTCTTCTCTGTCCACACAACAAAAACAACATCATCAACAACAACAACAACAACAAAAACATCATCAACAACAACAACAAAAACAACCAAAACAAACTCAGCAGTGGACACTGACTGTAGGATTTTAACACTTTTCTTCTTCTATAAAACAGATTCACTACATTTCACTGAACAAAAATAAAAAGGAGATGAACTGTCCTCTTGATATTACCATTATGACTAATGTCATGAGAAACTATAGAGAAACTATAGAGAAACAACGGATTGTTTTCCTTTGGTGAAAGTATTTAATTTTTTTACAGTCCACTGACAAAAGTGACAGAAACGAGGTCTGCTTTTCTGCATATAAAAATGAACTTCTTCAGTTCTCAGGAATATACTGATAGAGAAACAAAGAGGTTTGAGTAATGAGCTTTGAAGAACTCTATGTTCTTCTCAGACCTGATGTGACTGAAATAAAGAAGGATAGGACTCACATCAATCCTCACATCTTTCTTTGTGTTAAGTTACATCTTTGTAAAAACTAAACACACTAAATTTTTGTATGTAGGTGCCGTACAACATCACGGGCTGGCTGGATAAGAACAGAGATCCTCTGAATGAGACGGTGGTGGCGCTGTTTCAGAAGTCCTCGAACAAACTCATGGCTGGACTCTTTGAGAACTACGTCAGCTCTGAGATGGGTAACTATCCAAACAATCAGTGTCTGAAAGGATTTGTCAAAACTGGAATTAAATAAGTTATGCTGTTTTTTTTTAATCAGCGAGTGACCCAAAGGCCGAGAACAGACAGAGAAAGAGGAAAGCAGCTTCTTTCCAGACTGTCTCACAGTTACACAAGGTGAGTTCCTCATACCTGTCACCTCCAACCAAAGCTGTCGGAGCTTTTACACCTGAATGACCTGTATTCATGAATAAACAGTGTCAGAGAACGCTTGCTGTCAAATACCACGCCGCTTTAGTTCAGGTGTTTGCAGGGAGCAGGGGGATCAGGGTTAGAGGTCAGGCTGGAGAGGAAGTCTTCATCTTGACGTGACAGCCTGCTCCTATTTTGTGTTTGACTGCAGGAGAACCTGAACAAGCTGATGGCGAACCTTCGCAGCACTCAGCCTCACTTTGTCCGCTGCATCATCCCCAACGAGAGCAAAAACCCAGGTAACCAATCAAAAGCTGTGGCCTGAGGCCTGCTCCCCAGTTTACCACAAAAACAGACAAAGACCAGGTCCTCTGAGGGGGAAGGACTTTACCGGTACAACTAAAGTTTCCCACCGAACACACACTAGGTACTGAGTGCTTTTAACAGCCAGTAAAGTCGCCCCCTGCTGGACATCAAAAAAAATGCAGGAGCGAGGCACTCTCACATTGACTAATGAGCCAGGTCAGAGAACAAATCTCTGACATCTGACATAAATAATGGAGGGAAAAATGTCTTACCTTCACTCTGGTGTCTAAAACAGTCAATTATCAGTCATCCAGCTCCAACATGTTAATAATCCACCGAGATTATTCCTGTTTATGTTCAGTAATTTGTAGGTCAACCGTAAACCTTATTTGGAGGCATGTGGACAGACCGTGAACCAACTCATTCACTTGAGTATTCTTTTATTCTTCACCCAGCAACAACCACATATACAAAGGTTCCTACCTTGTATTGACTATCACTACATCCCCCTTTCTAATTGGGAGTCTTTACCAGGGAGGAATGCAAGAAGAACATTCTGGAACTGTTACGCTGTTAGCTCTGCTCTTTTCACAAGCATACTGTAACTGCTAGCTTGGAGATTCAAGTATTATCAGAACAAGAAATCACAATCACTAAGAACACTTGTGATTTCTCACTTAGTTTGTAGACATTTTTCTGAAGTTATAGAACACAAACCTTTTTCAGTGCTTCTCTAAACATGCATAGACATACACATCCCTTTTGTATACAAAACAAATCTTCTTGAGTTTAAACAACATAAAACATCACAAAATCACAACACAACAATCTTACATTGTCTCTTTTCTTTTCTATTTTTTTCGTGTGTGTGTGTGTGTGGTGAGTGCGTGTATGAGTGCATGAGTGAATGTATAAGGGATGGGGTAGACTGCCCAAACCCTTCCACTCGAGTGAGGGGATTATTCTGCCCCGAAGTCACTCAGTGTATGTTGTCATGTCACATAGTCTTGTAAGTGCACTGGGGTTTTCATCAATGGGATCTCCATTAAACTGTGGTGTGATGTGATGAGCTGCTGTGAAAGATGTAGCTTTGTGAACACAGGTGCATCTGTGTGGATGAGAGGAGACAGGTGCGTCAATGAGGAAGACTTTGGTGAAGTTTATACAGTTAATACCGATGTTTACTTCAGATCGCTGCTGTGTGTGTGTGTGTGTGTGTGTGTGCGTGTGTGAAACGTTGTGAAAGATCCTCAGTGTGTGAGCCTCTCTACCAGTAGAGACTGAACATCGTTTGTCCTGCTCGTTTGAGTGGCTGGGGCAAAATAGTAGGGAACATTTATTGAAACTTTCCACGCTGTGCGTACAGCTTTCTGATGAAGTCGGCTGTAAATTGGTCTATTTCCAACCGCTTGGGACTCTGCTACATGTACTAATAGCCAGTGAGCCCCCCGTCTTTCTGTCAAAGACCCAAACACAGAGTGAACCTGAATCACTTACATTTTGAGGAGGGGAGGACTCAAACCTTGGTGCTCTCCAGGTGTGATGGATCCCTTCCTGGTCCTCCACCAACTGAGGTGTAATGGAGTCCTGGAGGGGATCAGGATCTGCAGGAAGGGCTTCCCCAATCGTATCTTCTATGCTGAGTTCAAGCAGAGGTCAGTCCCAAACCAAACCATTTCAGAAACACCAGTTCAGGTTCCAGCTGGGTCCAGATCCGCTTCAGGTCTTCACCTGTTCTCTTTATCTGTAGGTATCGGATCCTGAACCCTTATGCCATCCCAGAGGACTCCTTTGTGGACAGCAGGAAGGCTGTGGAGAAGCTCCTGGGCTCTCTGGACATCGACCACTCTCAGTACAAATTTGGACACTCAAAGGTCAGACTGAGGCGGCTGAATCAGAGCTGTGGATGGAGAGGAGGATAGACCTTCATCAGATCCTCTTTCTCTTCCTCTCAGGTGTTCTTCAAAGCAGGTTTGCTGGGTCTGCTGGAGGACATGAGGGACGCCCGGTTGTCTCAGATCCTCACCATCGTCCAGGCCATGTCCAGAGGAAAACTGATGAGGATGGAGCGACATAAGATGATGCTGCAGAGGTGGATATGCCCGTCAACACCAGAGCAGCAGAGAGCAGCAGGTGATCCAACATGTTCCTGTCTGTTCCTGCTTTCAGAGACGCTGTGATGGTGATCCAGTTCAACCTCAAGGCCTTCTTCTCTGTGAGGACTTGGCCATGGATGATGCTCTTCTATAAGCTCCGCCCCCTGCTCAGGAGTGCCCAGGTGGAGAAGGAGCTGGCTGCTCTCCATGAAGAATTCAAAAAACTGAAAGAAGCCTTTGACAGGTTCTTATGCCTGTACAGGTGTCCTCAGAGATTTAAGGGTTCAGGTTCATAAAAACATCCTGGATCATCTCTCTCTTTCTTTCGCTCTCTCCCTCTCTCTCTCTTTCTCTGTCTCTCTCCCTCTTTCTCTCTCTCTCTCTTAGGTCAGAAGCACGGCGTCTGGAGGCCGAGGAGCGGCAGGTGGTTTTGGTTCAGGAGAAAAATGATCTGGCTCTGCAGCTCCAAGCTGTGAGTCAAACTTCAGAAATGATCATGCCAGCTGATATTCCAAACCTCTTTCTGATCCAGAACCTCCTGATCTCCATCATCATCAACAACAAAATAGCGGCGCTGCAAACATCATGAGCTTCTCATATCATTCGATGTCCTGCATTGACTCTGAGATTTACCACAGACTCTCATTTTGATCCTCCAGGAGCAGGACAACCTGACAGATGCAGAAGATCGCTGCAACCAGCTGATTCAGTCCAAAATCTCTCTGGAGTCAAAGCTGAAGGAGATGCAGGAGCGTCTGGAGGATGAGGAGGAGATGAGCATCAACCTGACGTCCAAGAAGCGTCAGCTGGAGGACGAGGTGGCCGCCCTGAAGAAAGAGGTGGATGATCTGGAGATGACTCTGGCTAAAGTGGAGAAGGACAGGCATGGAGTGGAGAACAAGGTGTGTCAGCATGAAGCCAGGTGTTTTGTTTTGGAGCTTCAGAGGATCTGACGAGGTTTAAGGTTTTTCTCTCTCTGCCCAGGTGAAGAACCTGTCCCAGGAGATGTGTGCTCTGGATGAATCCATTGCCTCTCTGACCAGAGAAAACAGCGCTCTGCAGGAAGCTCATCAGCAGGCACTGAATGACCTTCAGGCTCAGGTGGACAAGGTCAACATGCTGGCCAAAGCTAAGACGCGGCTGGAGCAGCAAGTGGACAACGTAAGACTGCAAGACCTGCCTCTGTGCTGGTCTATCTCATGAGCTTTATAAGTCTTACAGGTTTTCTGTCGACACACTGGAAACTCAAGTGGTCCCTCAAAAGGTTCCTGAGGGAAGTTTTTGCTGTTCCCTCATATTAGCCCAGAACGGTCCGTGTACTTAGCGGCCATCCATTTTCCGTGTTGATATGGGTAAACAAAGAACAGGAAACCATCTGATCTCCGATTTTCGTTTGGGTGAAGGTAAATGAAAAACGGGAAACAAGCCATCTCCTGATTTTCGTTTGGAGATAAAAAATCAAAAAACGGAAAACGAGCCTTTATCTGATTTTCTACTGGGGACAAGAGCCCCTCAGAGAGCACCTCCATTTAACTATGTCAGCTAACATTAATGAATGTTAGCCAAAGTGACATTAGCCCCCACAAACATCATCGTGTCATGTTTACTCACCTGGAAAATTCTGCATAGTTTCTCCAATGTTAAGTCTTCTTCTCAGAGACTCACCCGTCTCCCAGCACGAAAAAGTATGTACTACATCGACATCGCTTGAACAGTTTGAGAATAAATGAGGCTGCAAGTGCGGCAAGCCAATAATATCACTGGGGAGCAGTAAGACGCCGTAGTGTAGTTTCCAAAGCAAACCAAAGAAGCAGCAGGAGGAGGTCTTTCCGGGTTTAGGCAAAGCTGTTAGGAATTACAGTCGTATTTCATTTCCCAACTTGTGTAAAAATAAACCCATAGCAGAAAATAAAATAAAGGTTTGTGTCCCATTTTTCATTTACCTTCACCCAAACGAAAATCAGAGATCGGATGGTTTCCCATTTTTCGTTTACCCATGTTAACATGAAAAATGGATAGCCGCTAAGTACACGAACCCAGAACCTTTTTTAAGGATTCCTGGAAAATTACAACTGCTGACAGAGACAAGATTTACCTCTGAACCTAGGACTGGGCGATGATATGATCATGATTAATGACTGTGATAATTTCAGTTCGATCACGGTGATCAGCTGTGAGCATATTTACTCGATCAAACATACTGGAAATGTGCGTCACAATAACCAATCAGAGTCGAGCTTTTCCTGCTGACTTCTGTAAGTTGTCGGAGAGGTAAACAGGAAGCAAACAGAATGACTGAACATGGAGCTAAACGTGGAGCTGAGGGCAGCGAAATAGATGTCAGCCATGACTTTGAGTCTTCCTCTAAAGATGTTATTGTTGAGAAGAAAAGTTATTCAACATCGGTTGTGAGGCGGTGGCTCGGGTTCGGGTGGTTCGGGTTTCTCCAAAGTTTTGTTATTTACTTTGAATGTTAAAAAAATGTTGAACTAAATTCTAGTTTCTTTAGTTTTTAGTACAGATGCTTTAAAACTGGCAGTTTAAAAAAATTGTGATTATAATCGAGATCGGACGATATGACAAAATATATCATGCTAATGTTTTTTTCAGTCCCACCTGAACCTGTCTCTGTAGACTCCTTAAAGACTTTGTGATGACTAAACCAATAAAGGACCACCAGGAACTTCTCAGGAACTCCAGAGAGCAGCTGAGGAGAGCCAGAAGTCCTCTGTTTTGGTGATTTTGAGATTTCAGGCGCAGACTTAGGGCAGATAAACCTGAACATGGCGGGTCCTGATAAACTATAAAAGTGAGGTCCTCTCTCTCAGTTTCTGGTCCTGATGGTGTTCCTCCTCTGGTATCTGGCAGGTGGAGAGCTCCTTGGAGCAGGAGAAGAAGGTGAGAGCAGACCTGGAACGAGCTAAAAGGAAGCTGGAGGGGGATCTGAAGCTGTCTGTGGACTCAGTGAAGGACCTAGAGAACCAAAAGGAAGGTCTGGAGGAGAGACTGAAAAAGTAAGGAGGGAAAAAACTGAAACAGGAAGTTCTGATTATTTTTGAGTTACTGACCAAAATGAGGACTGATCCAGACCTCCTCTTGTCTCCTGTCCCCCAAAGGAAAGACTTTGAGCTGGGTCAGATCCAGGCCAAGATGGAGGACGAACAGAGCATAAACGCTCAGCTGCAGAAGAAGATGAAGGAGCTTCAGGTGAGTCCAGATCAAACCCGTCTGATCTGGATCCTTCCAATCTGCTGCTGCTGCTAAACCTCTGTGCTGCGGTCGCTCCCTCAGACTCGTATTGAGGAGCTGGAGGAAGCGCTGGAGGCAGAGCGAGCGTGGCGAAGCAAAGCTGAACGCCAGAGGAATGACATTGCCAGAGAGCTGGAGGACCTGGGAGAGAAACTGGAGGAGGCGGGAGGAGCGTCTGCTGCTCAGATCGCTCTGAACAGGTGTGCACGTGCAACCACATGAAGAAGAGTGAAACAGTGAAAATGTGAAAATAAAAGCATGAAAAAGATTGTTCAGTGAGAAAACCTGCTCTCTAAAGTACAAAACCCAATTCCATTGAAGTTGAGAAATTGTGATAAACGTAAATAAAAACAGAATGCAATGATTTGCAAATCCTTTTCAACCTATATTCAATGGAATACACTACAAAGACAAGATATTTAATGTTCAAAGTCATAAACTTTATTTTTTTTGGAAATAATAATTAACTTTAGAATTATATGGCTGCAAAATGTGCCAAAGTAGTTGAGACAAGGGCATGTTTACCACTGTGTTACATCACCTTTCCTTTTAACAACACTCAATAAATGTTTGGGAACTGAGGAGACTCATTGGTGAAGCTTTGAAGGTGGAATTCTTTCCCATTCTTGCTTGATGTACAGCTTCAGTTGTTCAACAGTCCGGGGTCTCCGTTGTTGTATTTTATGCTTCATAATGCGCCACACATCTTCAAAGGGAGACAGGTCTGGACTGCAGGCAGGCCAGTCCAGTACCTCTTTTACTACAAAGCTACGCTGTTGTAACACGTGCAGAATGTGGCTTGGCATTGTCTTGCTGAAATAAGCAGGGGCTTCCATGAAAAAGACATTGCTTGGATGGCAGCACATGTTGCTCCAAAACCTGTATGTACCGTTCAGCATTAATGTTGCATTCACAGATGTGTAAGTTACCCATCTCTTGGGCACTAATGCACCCCCATACCATCACAGATGCTGGCTTTTGAACTTTGCGTTGATAACAGTCGGGATGGTTCTTTTCCTCTTTGGACTGGAGGACACAACGTCTAATATTTCCAAAAGCAATTTGAAATGTGGACTCGTCAGACCACAGAACACTTTTTGACTTTGCATCAGTCCATCTTAGATGAGCTCGGGCCCAGAGAAGCTGGCGGCGTTTCTGGATGTTGTTGATAAATGGCTTTCGCTTTGCATAGTAGAGTTTTAACGTGCACTTACAGATGTAGCAACAAACTGTATTTACTGACAGTGGTTTTCTGAAGTGTTCCTGAGCCCATGTGGTGATATTCTTTACACACTGATGTCAGTTTTTGATACAGTGCCGCCTGAGGGATCAAACGTCACAGGCATTCAATGTTGGTTTCCGACCGTGCCGCTTACATGCAGTGATTTCTCTGATCCTTTTGACGATATTATGGACCGTAGATGTTGAAACCCTTAAATTCCTTGCAATCATACTTTGAGAAACTTTGTTCTAAAACTGTTGGACTATTTGCCCACACAGTTTTTCACAAAGTGGTGAACCTCACCCCTTCCTTGCTTGTGAATGACTGAGAATTTTTGGGGAAGCTGCTTTTATACCCAATCATGGCACCCACCTGTTCCCAATTAGCCTGCTCACCTGTGGGATGTTCCAAATAGGAGTTTAATGAGCATTCCTCAAATTTCTCAGTATTTTTTGCAACCTTCCCCAACTACTTTGGCACGTGTTGCTGCCATGAAATTCTGAGTTAATTATTATTTACCAAAAAAAAAAAGTTTATGAGTTGGAACTTTAAATATGTTGTCATTGTAGTGTATTCAATTGAATAAAGGTTGAAAAGGATTTGCAAATCATTGTATTTCATTTTTATTTACAATTTACTCATCTTCCCAACTTCATTGGAATTTGGTTTTGTACTTCCTAACACTGGGTTAGTGATACAGATTTTTTTTAAAGTCATAATAAACAGATTTTCTGTGAGAGTTACTGCTGTAAGCAGAGGTAGACTGGAGCACGGCTAAGGTCAACATGTGTGTCCTGTCAGAAGCTGAGAAAAGACCGCTCTTATAGGGAAAGGGTTAAAATTGGTCATCTTTGAAACATCTAACTGATGTTCTGAATATGAAACCATGATCAGAGATGGTTCACCTGTCTGAGTACTTTTATTAAACGTGAATATTATCACCTGTTACACTTTTTTAACCCTTTCAGCTCCAAAACCAAAAGAAACCACACTTGTGTTTACTTTGTGACCACTCATTGACTCCTTGTCTAACAGAAAGAGGGAGGCCGATTTCTTAAAGGTACGCCGGGAGCTGGAGGAGGCGGGGCTTCACCATGAGGTGACGGCCGCCGCACTCAGGAAGAAGCACTCTGACATGGTGACTGAGCTGAGCGAGCAAATCGACACTCTGCAGAGAACCAAACAGAAACTGGAGAAAGAAAAGGCAGAGTTTAGACTGGAGGCCGAAGACCTGACATCGAACATGGAGCAGCTGTCCAGAGCAAAGGTGGGGACCATCAAGACCACGCCCACAAAACAAACCTAACAAGACCACACCCACAAAACAGACTTAATAATACCACGCCCAGAAAAACAGAATTAATAAGACCACGTCCACAAAACAGACTTAACAAGACCACGCCCACAAAACAAACCTAACAAGACCACACCCACAAAACAGACTTAATAATACCACGCCCAGAAAAACAGAATTAATAAGACCACGTCCACAAAACAGACTTAACAAGACCACGCCCACAAAACAAACCTAACAAGACCACACCCACAAAACAGACTTAATAATACCACGCCCAGAAAAACAGAATTAATAAGACCACGTCCACAAAACAGACTTAACAAGACCACGCCCACAAAACAAACCTAACAAGACCACGTCCACAAAACAGACTTAACAAGACCACACCCACAAAAAAAACCCTGATTTATCAACACCACACCCACAAAACAGACTTAAAAAGTCTACGCCCAGAAAAAAACACTTATCAAGACCACGCCCACTTAACAGACTTAACAGGATTACGCCCACAAAACAGACTTAACAAGACCATGCCCACAAACAAACTTAACAAGACCACACCCACAAAACAGGCTTTATAAGACCACGCCCGGGAAAACAAACCTAACAAGACCACACCCACAAAACAGACTTAATAAGACCACACCCAGAAAAAAAAACCCTGATTTATCAACACCACACCCACAAAACAGACTTAAAAAGTCTACGCCCAGAAAAAAACACTTATCAAGACCACGCCCACTAAACAGACTTAACAGGATTACGCCCACAAAACAGACTTAATAAGACCACGCCCACAAAACAGGCTTTATAAGACCACGCCCGGAAAAACAGACTTAATAAGAACACGCCCACAATACAGACTTTACAAGACCACACCCACAGACCAGACTTAACAAGGCATTGCCCACAAAACAGACTTTAAGGTCACAAAACAAAATTAACAAGACCACACCCACAAAACAGACTTAATAAGACCATGCCCAGAAAAGCAGAGTTAATAAGACCATGGCCACAAAACAGACTTTACAAGACCACGCCCACAAAACAGACTTAACAAGACAACACCCACTAAACAGACTTAATAAGAACACGCCCGAAAAAACAGACTTCAAAGGCCACACCTATAAAACAGACTTAGCAAGACCACGCCCAGAAAAACAGAATTAAGAAGACCAAGCCCACAAAACAGATTTTTCAAGACCGTGCCCACAAAACAGACTTATCTGATCACAACTCGGGCATGTTTAAAAAACTCTATAAACATCTATAAATCCCTGTAAAGGTCGATTTCTTTTACATCTTCATCATCACAAACAAGTCAAACAAGTCAGATGATTTTATTTCTATTAAATTGTTTTTACCTGTCTAAGACACCACACCAAAGGTGGCTCCACTATCATGAATCTGTATGTGTGTGCAGGGAGCCGTGGAGAAGATGTGTCGTGTTTATGAGGACCAGCTGAATGAGAGCAGGAGTAAATCTGAAGAGCTGCAGAGACAACTGACTGAAGTGTGTGCTCAGAAAACCAGAGCTGTAGCTGAGACCGGTACGACACACACACACACACAAACACACACACACACACACGTATTGAAGAATAAATTAAGGAGAAATCGCTCTTCTGGAACTATCTTTCTCAGAGAAAAGGAGAAAAAAATCACCAGAAACAGAGAAATACTGAATCAAGAATGTTTGTTAGATTTCTCCTTCTTCTTCTCCTTTCTCGTCTTTCTTTCTTTTTCTTCATTTTCTTCTTCCTCCCTTTCTAGTTCTTCTTCTTCTATAACTCCTTTCTCTTATTTTTCCCTTCTTCTTTTTCTGATTCTACTCTTTCTTTTTTTCCTCTTCTTCTGACTATTCCCTTTTTTTCTACCAGCTGAGTACAGCCGCCGTGTAGAGGAGCGGGACGCTCTTATTGGTCAGCTCCAGCGCTCCAGGGCGGGGATCTCCCAAAACTTTGAGGATCTGAAGAAGCAGCTGGAGGAGGAGAGCAAAGTAAGACTGAAGATCCTGATTAGACCTCCTGATGCTGGGTCAGGTCTGAGTCTGAGTCCCCCCCATCATGACCCCCCCCATGTCTGACGGAAGGACATCAGCTTCAGTTGTGAAGGACACACTCGAGTGTCTGAATGTTTGTGTGTTTCAGGCTCGTGTCTCTCTGGCTCATGCTGTTCAGTCGTCCCGTCATGACTACAGTCTGCTGAAGGAGCAGCTGGAGGAGGAGCAGGAGGCCAAGGCGGAGCTGCAGAGGGCGCTGTCCAACGCCAACAGCCAGGTGATCCAATGGAGGGCCAAGTACGAGACGGACGCCGTCCTGAGGATTGAGGAGCTGCAGGAGGCAAAGTAAGAGACGCTTAAGTAAAAAGGCTGCTGTGAGAAAATCCATGAAAAAACACAAGTTTAAAAAATAATCAAAATCCATGAAAAATATATTTGAAAAAAAAATTCATGAATTTATTTTTAAAAAAGTATACAAAATTCATGAAAAAATATATGAAAATAAACAAAATCCATGAAAAAAAAACAAAACAAAAAAAATCCATGAAATAATATAAACATTAAAAAAATAAACAAAATCCATGAAGAAAATAATTTTGAGAAATCAACAAAATCCATGAAAATATATATTTAAAAAAAATCCAAGAAAAAAATAATTTAAAGAATATACAAAATCCATTGAAAAATAAATAAAATCCATGAAAAAAAAAATAAATAAAAAATAAACAAAATCCATGAAAAAATACAGTAAAAACAAAATAGAGGAAAAATAAATAAATTAAAAACATATATAAATTCCGTGAAAGTCTATGACTGCTCTGAAGACGGATAGACAGACAGAAAGACAGCTGGGCAGAACCTTAAGTCCTGCTGGGTCTTCAGGTTTTGGAGCTCTTCTTTCTCGTGGTTTTCCTTTGGAGAATATTTTAGGATCATTTCTTCACCGTAAAAAAAGCAGCAGCTGCTGTTGTGTTGTTCAGTCCTCAGTTGCGCTAAGTTGCTTTGATAATGATGGTGGTTGACAGATGCTAAATAATCTTCATCAAGAGAACTGAGACAACGTAATCAAACACACTCAGATGCAGCAATAAGAACGAGACAGTTGACCTCATGATTCAGTCTCCTCCTCATGAAAGACGACGGTCCTAACCAGCTGCAGAAGAAGCTGCAGGTTTCACACCTGAACTGTTTGGATGGATGCGAGAAGAGTCCTTTTCCAGTTATGGAGGCAGAAACCTCCTTGTGTTTGTGTTTGTATACAGGAAGAAGTTGGTGGTCAAACTTCAGACAGCTGAGGAGGCCGTGGAGACTTCTCAGGCCAAATGTTCATCTCTGGAGAAGAGCAAACTGCATCTGCAGACTGAAATTGAAGACCTGGTTGTTGAGTTAGAGCGAGCAAACTCTGCCACTCTAGCTCTGGAGAAGAAGCAACGTAACATTGACAAGGTGGGTCAGAACGAGGAGGAAAGAGTGGACACAGAGCAGGAACTTCTCTGGAACCTTTGACATGAGGAATAACACTGTCCTCCTCCTTGTTGTTGTTCGGTGCAGCTGTTAGGAGACTGGAAGCTAAAGTTTGAGGAGAGTCAGGCAGAGCTGGAGGCGTCACAGAGAGAGTCGCGCAGTCTCAGCACCGAGCTCTTCAAACTGAAAAATTCCTACGAAGAAGCTCTGGACCACCTGGAGACGGTCAAACGAGAAAACAAGAACCTGCATGGTAACCCCCGTTCCCCAGTCTGTCCTCACACCACGAAATGCGATGCATCTATATGTACATCTATGTGTGTGTGTATATATATATATATATATATATATATATATATGTATATATGTATATATGTATAATGTATGTATATATGTGTGTGTGTACACACACACACACACACACACACACACACACACACACACACACACACATATATATATATATATATATATATATGTGTGTGTGTATATATATATATTATATATATGTATATATATATATATTTATATATATTTGTATATACATTTGTATATACATATTTATATGTATCTATATCAGGCACTTGTTTTTATTGTTTTATATCAAAGATTTATTTTCAGGCTTTTAGGAGACAGGAGGACAGAGAGAGACAGACACTCAGAACAGTGTTGAGACCAAACACGGAGAGTCGTTTTTTAACCTCATTAGATAACCCAAAGTCTTTTTTATCTGCTCCATAATGATATAAATAACAATGACATTCATATTAATAAAAGCAATACTACTACTACGACGACTACTACTAATACTACTACTAATAATAATAATAATAATAATGAGAAAATTCCTGTTGGAAATTTGAAAGGGCCACACATGTGAACATTATGATGATTTATAATATAATGTAATATGAGTTCTTCTTTTAGGTTTACATATATAAAAAAAAGGAGCAGTAGACATCTGAAAAACTCCAAGAATCAGTAATTGCTCTTTTTTTTTACCTTAAAAAATTTCTGTAGTTTTTCACAATCCAAAAAATTCAAATAGAAAAAAAAAAAAAAAAAACTGCAGTTCCTCAAGTGTCCCCTAGAGGCCTAACCAAACCCCCAAACACATCAGTCAGGGTCGACTGAAGGTCAAACGCATCAGGGTCGACTGTGGGTCAAACATGTCAGGGTGAACTGAGGATGGGTGTAGTTGTCAGTCAAGTGGGTCCTGGTCTGTTTCAGTTCCTCCTCTTTGAACCTGTCAGGTTAAATCAGCTTCTTCATATGTCGACTCACCATCTTTGGGTTTCATGACGCCCCAACAGAAACCAAGACTGTGTCCATGTTTCAGGCTCTCAGGGACCAACTGGTGTTTGGGTTCCAGCGTCCTCATACACAATCACTTTCAAGGCCAATGATCTGAGCTCAACATGCAGACGAGAGATTTAGACCAAGTCTAGGATCAGGGATGGTTCATTCAGCCTCAGTCATCAGACATCTACTTTGAACATCGGAGTCCCGGTCTCATTCAGGGTTCAGATCCTCTATAACTTAGGCTATGTTCACACTGCAGGTCAGTTCCGATTTTTTAACCATATGTGACACATATCTGATTTTTTCATCTAAGTGTGAACAGTGCAATTCTGATTTTTTCAAATCCAACCCAGGCCTCTTTTGTATGTGGATATAAATTGGATATGTACCGATGTGACTGCAGTGTGGACGCTCAGGTCGCATTCATCCGACCTATACGTCATCAGTATGCGACCAACGTCACCATTGTTCAACAACACGTCATGCTTTGTGCCCATGCGGGTCACTTCACGGACATATTCCGTTCACATAAGATGCCGCATTTGTTGTTGTAATGTGAACGATCGGGTTGGGTATCGAGAATCGAGTATCGATGGGGACCGGGACAGATAAGTGAAACCATAAATTACTTCTGTCCTCTGCTAACTTTGAAGCAGACAAATTGTACTGTGTACGGTGAGTAAACTTAAATATCCAACTAACGTTAGCCCTTGCACTTTTTCATAGACAAACGACCTGACAACAAAAATTGATATTTATATACTGGTTGAAAATAGCCTTGTGAGAAATTCAAAATAAAGTTCTTAAAAAGTTAATATGATTTAAAAATACATGGAGAAGTTCAGAAATTTCATCCAAAAAGAAGAGCTCCGGTTAGCGCCCTCATTCAAAGCATGCTTTTTTTTTTTTTTTTTTTTTTTGATATCCTGCCTTTTAAAAGAATCGAAATAGAGAATGGATAGGAATCAGAATCGAAATGAGGAATCGAAATGGAAATCGGAATCTTTCAAAATCAAAGGATACCCAACCCTAGTGAATGACCGCACAAAAAGATCGGATTTAACAAAAAATCCGAATTGTCCATCATAACCTACAGTGTGAACGTAGCCTCAATATCTAGTCTCATTGGATTTGGGCGGGGTTTAAGGATGTGTACCTAAGATCTGTCTCCAAACTCTTCAAACAGACGAGATCCTGGACCTGACGGATCAGATCAGCCTGGGCGGTAAAACCATCCATGAGCTGGAGAGGACCAGGAAAATCCTGGACATCGAGAAGAGCGACATCCGAGCAGCTCTGGAGGAAGCTGAGGTAAAAAACTTAAACTGCTGCAGACTCACCTGTCAGACCTTCACCTTCTAATCCACCTCAAACCGGTCTCCGTCTGTCAGGGCACTCTGGAGCACGAGGAGGGGAAAACTCTGAGGTTTCAGGTGGAGCTGCAGCAGATGAGGACGGAGATTGAGAGGAAGATTGCAGAGAAAGACGAGGAGATCGAAAACCTCAGGTATGAACTCAGACAGACGATTAAAGGTGCGAGTTACCATAGCAACGAACCGGCCAGTGAGGGACAAACAAAGTTTCAATCTGTTTAAAATAATAAAAAAAAAACAATACCAAAACTGTCCACCAGGCGGAGCCATCAACGATCTCTGGAGACCATGCAGGCCAGTTTGGAGGCGGAGGTTCGCAGCCGCAGTGAGGCGGTCCGACTGAGGAAGAAGATGGAGTCAGACCTGAATGAGATGGAGGTCCAGCTGGGACACGCCAACAGGCAGGCGGCCGAGAACCAGAAGCTCATCAGATACCTGCAGACCCAGGTGGACCTAGCTTAGCTTCAATCTTGGATCTAAAGATGGTTGGACAGGTGTCTTCTCAGAGCTGAGGAACCTTTGGATGAAGTTTGCTGATGTTCTCAGTCTGTAGCCAGGCTAATAGCAGATGGCTAACTCTAACTTTAGCTTGCAAATTACATGGTGCTTCACAGTTAACTCGGCGTGACTGAGACCAGCACAGCGGGGAACATCGTGAAATGGGTTGAACTGAAACTTGTTGATTTATTGTGTATTTCACTAACTTGTTTATTTACCGTTGAGGCGGACCACTCTCCTCCGTGCATCTTAGCTGCCTACTTCAGATCCGTCGCTCTGCTGTGCTGTGAGGTAGTTAGTGGATGAAGATTGTCATGAGTTTGCTGCGCCACCTACAGGAAAAGTGGTGAACTTTTCAAATGGCGAACATTTTTGAAGTGAAACTGAGTCTTATTCTTTGCGTTTTATTTCTGAAAATATTGGCGAAAATCAGCGAGTTTTGGCCGATTATCAATTAGTCTCAAACGGGCTAAACTTGTCGGCTTGCCGATAAATCAGTCGGGCCCTAATTGATATCTATGCCATTATCTATTCTACTTATCAATTCAATTCTTTAATGATTCCCTTATCAATGCTTTTCTTTGATTTAAAAATAGTAGACTTAAAGGTTTTCACCGTTAACTCAAAATAACAGAAATGATGCATGCCACCTTTAGTGAGAGTCTAAAAAAAATAATAATCAAACGACAAACTATTTGCACAGCATTTACTTTGGTAAGTATTAAGTCAAATTAGGGTGACCATATTCTGGATCCTCACAAAGAGGACACTACTATGCGGAGTGGAGTTGTGCGCAAAATTTTGAGCCACGCTTTAGCTCATTTCTGCCGACTTTTCGTACCGTCTGCCATGTTTTTTCCTCTGTCCATGTTTTCGTTAGCGTAGACTGGCACTCGCAAGACTGTTTTTAAACGCACCCGCAAGAAAGGAATTGTTGATGGATTGAACCATTTGAAACCAGTTCTCAACAAGAACCGGTTCTTGATTCCCATCCCTAACCAGACTAGACAGTAACCCTCTGAACCAAAACTGTTCCATCTCTGACGTCACTGTGTCCTGTACTCTGATAGGTCAAAGAGCAGCAGGTGGAGCTGGAGGATAAAGTCCAGCAGACCAATCAGCTGAGAGAACAGATTGTTCTGTTGGAGAGACGCTGTTCTCTGATGATGGCTGAGGAGGAGGAGCTCCGTGGCGTTCTGGAACAAACAGACCGCATTCGCAAGGTGGCCGAACACGAGCTGGTGGAGGTGTCAGAGAGAGCCAACCTGCTCGCCACACAGGTAACCATGACCTCTGATTGGATGGGTCATAAGCAATTACAATCAGAGCTGGGCACAGGTGATACAAGGCTCACTGCCAACCTGTTAACTAAGATAACGGTATCAGTCCGGTCCAAGTCTGCTGGTCCACTGGAGAACTGATCAGAACCATCATGGGTCCAAAAAGGTCCTCATAAAAACTACAAAGGCGGAGTTTGTGATCCATCAGAGCGGGTTTGATCCTCCTACCTCCTCAGGTGACCTACCTGAGTGTAGGCTTTCCTGACCGGGTCATTTGGACCAGCAGGTTCTGACTCAGTCACAGTGTGATTAATGAGCTGGACCATCATCATCATCCTGATCTGAGCTCAGCGTAGAACCTGTCTGCTGACATGACAATAAATAAACAATGATAAAAAGACAATCAGTGATTTGAGAGTGAATCTGATGATTAACAATGAATGGATTAATGATTGACGATGCATGGATTAATGATTACCAATAAACGGATTAATGATTAACAATGAACGGATTAATGATTAATGATGAATGGATTAATGATTAACGATGAATGGATAATTGATGAATGGATTAATGAACGTTCAGTTCGTATTATAATCTGGTACTTCATCATTTCCTATTGATTGGATTAAATCTGATCAACACAGACACTGAGTGTTGAGATCAATAATCTCTATAATGTAAAAAATAATCAATTAAACTCACTGTTGAAGTTTGGGTTTGATTGACTTATTGATCAATAACCTGATTGGTTTTTCCTCTTCACAGTCTTTTTTGAATACTTATTAATAGATTAATTGATTGACTGTTTTCATGTGTTATTTTATGACTCTCTGACTCGTTCGTCTCTGATTGATTATTGATTTATTGTTTTTTATTATTGGACTGATCAGATTTACTGACTTGTTGTAAACTGATGGCTGTACTAATGTATTAAACTGTTAAACTGTGTTAAACTTAGGGCTGGCTGATTATTGATGATTGATTGGTAGAACACAGGTCTGGTGAGCACCAAGAGGAAGCTGGAGGCCGATCTGTCTCTGCTGAGCGGGGAGGTGGACGAGGCTGTGCAGGAGAGTCACATCGCCGGGGAGAAAGCCAAGAAGGCCATCACTGATGTGAGTCCTGACCTCTGACCCCTGACCTCTGACTAATCCAAACCACAGAGATGACGATTTTATTGATCTGTCACAGAGTTCGATAGTCAACTCACATAACGATGAAAATGAAACCTCAGTGAGAGTCGAAAAAGCTTTCTTTACATTTTCATGAGGGTAACAGTCCAGGTCTAAACTGGTCCAATCAGATTTAATCTGGTCTCATCTGGTCTAATCAGGTTTAATCTGGTCCAATTATAGACTGTTCATAATATGGACCACTTGGTTCCGTCTACCGCCTGTATACAGATTTGAAGCCAAATAGCTCTCGGTAAGTAAGTCCATGCAGAGTCAATCTGGAGGAATCTGATGGTGTTTGTTTCTGATCAGGCGGCTCTGATGGCCGAGGAGCTGAAGAAGGAGCAGGAGAGCAGCAGCATGTTGGAGAGGATGAAGAAGAACATGATCTCCACCGTTAAAGGTACGACACTGAAGACCCAGAAGGTCCATGATGAAGAGCTGACCTGCAGAGATGATTCCAGTTTTCTCTCTGTTCTTCAGAGCTGCAGATCAAACTGGACGAGACAGAGCAGATGGCTCTGAAGGGAGGAAAGAAACAACTCCACAAACTGGAGACCAGAGTGAGTAAAACTGAGAACAAAAGACAAAAGACAGAAACAGGACATAACCGAGCAGAAGGTAAGACATCCTCCCATCTGTGAACAGGTGAGAGAGCTGCAGACCGAGCTGATAGTAGAGCAGAAGAAGAGTGAAGAGTACCAGAAAGGAGTCCGCCGCTACGAAAGGAGGTGCAAGGAGCTCCTGTATCAGGTCTGACCACTGAGACAGTCCAAAGACTTTAAAGTGTGTCTCTGTCCTCATCTGTCCTCTCTCTGTCCTCTCTCTCTCTGTCTCTCTCTATCTCTCTTTCTTTCTCTCCCTCTCTGTCTTCTATCTCTCTGTCTCTATTCTATCTCTCTATCCCCCCCCTCCCGTCCTCTCTCTGTCTCTCTCTCCCCCTCTCTCTCTCTCTGTCCTCTCTGACAATCTTTCCTGCTGGGGGTCAGTGTCTGGAGACCCTGGGGAAGAAGGTGGCATACCATCTGCGTGTCAAGGTCTCCAATCTCTGCTCTCTGGTGGGGGTTAGGGTGTCGAGGTGGACGGAGTTGTTTGGCAGGGGTTGGTCCCCGCGGGGCTGTTGGTGGTCCCTGTACAAACCCCTCGTTGATAAATGGGTGGGGGACCTACAGTGGAGGATCGTACATGGGGCCATAGATGCAAACAGGTATCTGGCACACCTCAACCCCGACTGAGGATGTGGTGCTGATGCTGACTGGGATGCTGGCCGCTCGCCTCAGAGTGGAGTTCCAGTTTTACAGACTGACTAATACGACCGACACCTTTGTGAAATTATGGGGTGTGCGGGCGTTCTGTGTTCGGTCATGGAGAACTCTTTGGTTTTAAATTTCTGAGAGTCGACGATTGTGTTTGGCTTTAATATTTAATAACGACAAAAGTAACTTGGACGACTGGTTTCGTACAGTTTTTTTTTTTTTTTGTGGTTGTTGTTTTTTGTTGTGGACGCGATCCGCTTTTTTTGAAATAAAAAAAATCTCTGTCCTCTCTTTCTCTCTCTATCTGTCTCTTTCTCTCTCTATCTCTTTCTCTCTCTCTCTCTCTCTCTATCTTTCTCTCTCTCTCTCTCTCTCTCTCTTTCTGTCTCTCTGTCTGTCCTTTCTGTTCTCTCTCTGTCCTCTGTCCCTGTCTCCCTCTCTGTCCTCTCTTTCTTTCTCTGTCCTTTCTTTGTCTGTCCTCCCTCTCTCTATCTCTCTGTCCTCTCTCTCCCTCTCTCTCTGCCCCCCCCCGTCTCTCTCTGTCCTCTCTTTGTCCCCCCTTTTCTCTCTTTCCTCTCTCTCTCTCTCTCTCTCTCTCTCTCTCTCTCTCTCTCTCTCTCTCTCTCACAGATGGCCTGTGAGTGAGGAGCTGAAAGTGAATCGATTTTTGATTAAACTTTTTTGTAACTTTGTTTCTTTTCTTCTACTATCGTCACTTTATTGAATGATCATTGTTTGTATTATTTGTTGATAACTTTTGGTCAAACAGTTTAGTGGTATTTGTGTGTTTTTCGTGCCTCATGGCGAGGATGGCGTCCTCTGAGACGCCACCTCCGCCAGCGTCCCTGAGACATGGCGTGAGGCTGGTGCCACCGCCGGCCTCCTGTTGGCTGTGGGAGACCAGCCACTCCAGCACTCCTGTGCTGGAGTGGCTGTTTTATTCTCCCCCTCCTTACCTGTAAATATTTTAGCCAGCTCAAGAGATCATGGCGGGCAGAGCTTTGATGGTGAAGGTGGATATTCTAGGGTTTGCTTTAACTTTCTTTTAATATCTATGCACCCAATCAAAGCTCTGAACGTTTAGTTTTGTTTAATTTATTGAAAAACAGTTTAGGGAACTGCAGCAGTCAGGAAGAGTGCATTATAATGGGAGGGGATTGGAACTGCTGTACGGATGGCACCTTAGACAGGATAGGGCAGGAGCTCCAGTCCCTATCATCCTCTCTCCTGGCTCAGATGTTGACAGAGTTTAACCTCGTCAACATCTGGAGGTTAAAACATTCCTCAGCTAAACAGTACACCTGGGTGAGAGTCTCTGACGGCATGGTTAGTGCAGCCAGACTCGACAGGTTTTATATGTCCTCTTCTTTTATCACTCGTGCAGCCAGGTGTCAGATTCATCCTGTTGGCTTCACAGACCATCACTTGGTCTTATTGGAAATGGTTTTAACCTCTCCTGGAAAGTCCAGGTCAGTCTGGCATTTTAACGTTAAGCTTTTACATGATTTTAACTTTTGTAATAATTTTAAATTGTTTTGGGCTGAATGGAGGTCCAGGAAGGAGGATTTCCCCTCTCTAGGTCAGTGGTGGGAGGTAGGAAAGGGACAGATCAGGGTGTTCTGCCAGCAGTACACCGCCTACTCCACTGCTGACGTCCGAAGGGCCATGGACCAACTGGAGGCAGAGATCGGGGAGCTGGAGGGTGTGCCTGTGGGGAACCCTGAGCAGCTGCTCTCCAAAAAACAGCAGCTGAACTCTTTCCTCCTGGAGAAAGCCAAAGGAGCCCTGGTCCGAGCCCGCTTCACCGCCATCAAGGACATTGATGCACCAACAACCTTCTTTTTTAACCTGGAGAAGTCAGAAGGCCAAAAGAAACAGATGGTGTGTCTCTGTCTGCCTGATGGGGGGTTAACCTCAGACCCCGCTGAGATGAGGAGGCATGCAGTGTCCTTTTACTCTGAGCTGTTTCGAGCGGAACATTGTGATGGAGAGGCTGCAGCTGAACTCCTACAGGACCTTCCTCAGCTGAGCCCAGCAGAACGGGACGCCCTGAACCTCGATATCACCATGGAGGAGCTAACCTCTGCGGTGACACACATGGCCTCAGGCAAAGCACCGGGTATGGACGGGTTACCAGCTGATTTTTACAAACACTTTTGGAGTACCCTGGGACAAGATCTTCTGGACGTGTTTCGGGAGTCTTTCCAGAGGGGAACTCTTCCAGCTTCCTGCAGGCGCACAGTAATATCGCTGCTACCCAAAAAGGGGGACCTCACCCTGTTGAAAAACTGGAGACCAGTGGCCCTGTTATGTAGCGACTATAAAATATTGTCGAAGGTTTTAGCTAATAGACTGAAGGTTTTTATGGATGTTTTTATTGGTGCTGATCAGTCCTACTGTGTCCCTGACAGATCCATCCTGGACAATCTGTTTTTAATGAGAGACATTTTTGATGTGTGTAGACTTCATAATCTAAAGACTGGTTTACTCTCTATTGACCAGGAGAAGGCCTTCGATCGTGTTGATCACTCCTTTTTATTTTCCACACTGCAGGCCTTTGGTGTTGGGGAGCACTTCTTGTCCTGGGTGAAGCTGTTGTACACTGGTGCATGTTGTGTGGTTAAAGTGGGGAGTGGGCTAAGCAGTCCTGTACCAGTGAGCAGAGGCATCAGGCAGGGCTGCCCCCTCTCTGGTCAGCTGTACAGTGTGGCCATTGAGCCTCTTCTTTGTCAGCTCAGGAGGTGGTTGAGGGGCTTATGTCTGCCTGAACCGGCACAGAGCCGGCCTTTGATTGTGACAGCCTATGCTGACGATGTGAATGTTTTTGTTCAGGGCCAGGAAGATGTCCAGGAACTTAAGCATTGCCTGGATCTGTATGAGAGGGCTGCATCAGCCAAAGTCAACTGGGAGAAGAGTGAGGCATGTTTAGTCGGCCACTGGAGTGCAGGAAGCACCCCTAGTCTTCCTGGTGGCCTTAGGTGGGGTAGCAGAGGGCTCAAGGTCTTGGGAGTGTATTTGGGGAGTGAGGAAATTACTGCTAAAAACTGGGAGGGAGTGCTGGAAAAGGTAAAAGCCAAGTTATCTAAATGGAAATGGTTGCTACCTCAGATGTCTTACAGGGGAAGAGCTCTGATTGTCAATAACCTGGTGGCCTCGTCTCTGCGGCACAGACTCCAAGTGCTGAACCCTCCACCAAGCCCCGTGGGACAGCTGCAGTGACTCCTGGTGGACTTTTTCTGGTCTGGTCACCATTGGCTACGAGCGTCAGCCCTGTACCTTCCTGTGGCAGAGGGGGGATAGATATCACCTCTAAGACTGCTGCCTTCAGGCTTCAGGCAGCCCGACAGTTTCTGTATGGACTTTCTAACTGCTGGACGGATGTAGCTCGGCTGCTGCCCCGGAAGGCTGGGTGGCTTCGCTTTGACAAACAGCTGTTTCTTCTGAAGCCCCCTGCTCTCACCTTCACTGAACTGACACCTTTCTACAGCTTTGTGTTTGTTGCGTGGAGGACGCTTGTTTCCACTTGACCATCTGACCCCAAGCCTGGGATGTGGCTGTTTGAGGAGCCACTTTTTGACACCATGTTTTCATCCAACACCCTGAAAAGTGTCTTCACTGAAGCTGGAGTCGTTAAGCTTGGACATCTTACAAGAACACCTGTAGAGAGTCTGGCTGACATGACCGGTATACGATCAACCAGAGTGCTGCAGAACCTGGTGAAGGAGGTGTGGCAGTCTCTGTCGGGGCCCCTCCGGACTTCTGCTCAGAGTCGGGGTCTGGCTGAACATTGGAGGGAGGGCCAAGACTATATCTTCCCCTCCCTGAGTGTGAGTCCTGCGGTGGGAGAATGGAGGGAGGAGAGTGGACTGTTGCTGTCCTTAAAGAGACCAGTACTGGGAGCCTTCAGCGCCTGCACGGGGAAGCAGCTGTACCTCAGCTGTGTGAAGGTACTGAACCTGCGCTCCCTGACGGGAGTCAGAGAGTCGAGGTGGACAGAGGTTTTTGGCACAGACTTTTCCCCTAATGGCAGCTGGAGGGTCCTGTATAAGCCTCCTGTTGAGAAACGCATGGCGGATCTCCAATGGAGGATCATACATGGAATGATAGCCACAAACGGGTACAGAGCTCACCTTGATCCGGGCACTGGAGAGGGATGTCCCTTCTGCTCGCAGTCAGAGACTGTAGAGCACCTGGTGCTGTCCTGTACCAGACTGGCAGCTCTTTTTAAAGTGGTGCAGGAGTGGGTGGGGGGTTTGGGGGAGGTTTTCTCGTTCCCACTCTTTGTCTTTGGACCCAAATACATTCCTAAGAAAAAGAAATCGGTGGTTTTGATCAACTTTGTTTTTGCGAGTGCTAAGCTAGCCATCTGGAAGACTTGCAAAAACAAGGTTCTTGGGGTGGACTGGACTGATCCGGTCTGTTGCCTCATGGGTTTGGTGGCAGCACGTCTCAGGATTGAGCACAGCTTTTATAAACTGACGAAAAATTTGGATGGTTTCAGGGATGTGTGGGCTATCGGGCAAGTCCTGTGCTCACTGGAGGAAAATGGCTCCTTAGTGCTGCATTTCTAAAGGATTAGTTTTTAGTGTGTGTGTGTGTGTGTGTGTGTGTGTGTGTGTGTGTGTGTGTGTGTGTGTGTGTGTGTGTTGCTATTTATTTAAATCACCAGTACAAGCTAACAGGTAATCTGGTTTTAAGGATTGTCAGAATGGTTCATAAATAAAGTTTGTTAAAAGTAAAAAAAAAAGTCTCTATCTCTCTATCTCTCACTGTCCCCTCTCTCTCTGTCCTTTCTGTCTGTCCTTTCTGTCTGTCTGTCTGTCTGTCTCCCTCTCTCTCTGTTTTTCCTTTCTCTATCTCTTTATCTCTCTGTCCCCTCTTTCCTCTCTTTGTCCTCTCTCTCTCAGTCCTCTCTTACTCTCTGTCTTTCTATCTCTCTCTTTCTATCTCTCACTGTCCCCTCTCTCTCTGTCCTTTCTCCCTCTCTCTCTGTCCTCTCTCTGTCCTTTCTGTCTGTCTGTCTGTCTCTCTCTCTCTCTCTTTCTTTCTCTCTCTACCTCTCCTTCTCTCTCTACCCCTCTCTCTGTCTTCTCCTTCCTTCTCTTTGTTCTCTATGTCAGTCTCTCTTTGTCTCTGTCTGTCCTCTGTTGTTCCTCTCTGTCTTTTCCCTGTCCTCTGTTGGTCATCTTGGTGTCCTCACATGTCTTTGTGTCCCTGCAGACAGAGGAGGACAGCAAGACTCTTCTGAGGATGCAGGAGCTGGTCGAGAGACTTCAGACTAAAGTGAAGAGTTATAAGAGACAAGCTGAGAACGCGGTGAGTCTGTCCTTATGTCCCTGATGAGACATCAGAGCTTTATTCAGGACAAAATCCAGATTTCTGACCATCTGTAAGATCACGGAGACAGGTTTTGGTCTCTGAAGATGTTAAGGTCTGATTATCAGATGATTATTGATCAGATGATCAGTAACTGTTAAGAGTCATTTTTATTCCTCTGGAAAGCTGAAGACCATCAGAACCTAAAACACCTTCATCATCATCATCATCATCATCATCATCACAAATCCTTGTGCGTGGAGGGGGGGATTAATTGATCTGATCAGGTTAGAATTTGATCGATCAAATTTTTCCCTCAGTCCGATAGAAAAGACCGGACTTTGAAAACTGGGTTCAGACTCCAAACTAAAGTCTGGGGAAACCGTCATCTTCACAGACCCCTGCTGCTCCACATGGTCCTAAAATTTAATGTGTTTGTGTTGAGCATCCCCCATAGTCCGGGAGCCATGGGGGTGAACGTGGTTTTGTCGGTTAAAGTTTTTTTCTCAACTGATTCTTGCTGCTGGGGGTCCCCTCTTAAGGATTCAAGAGGGTGCCCAGTGAAATCCCTGGAGCATTTTTTTGTTATTAACCCCTTCCTGTCCAAAACAACATAATCTATAAACTGTGATATTGTACATGCACAGAAATCAAATCAAATGCATTAGATCTGCTTTCTACAAAGTCTAATAGTGGAACTGGTCATGTTTCCTTTTGGATGAATGCATATCAACCCTTTGAGGCCAACCATCTTATAGTCCTTAACCCTTAAATTCCCAAAACAAAAACAAAAAATACACAAAATAGGGTTTTATGGCATTTTATGCAGAAATAATGATTTAGAGCATCAAATTTGATTTCTAGTGTTTATCAATGAATGTGGATGTGTAAAATTTAGTTTTCTGATCTCACATTAAAACATTTTATAGATATTAATATTAAAAAAATGCATAAATATTAAATCTAATGCACTATACACATCCATTTACATGGATACAAACTGTAGAAAGCAAACTTTATGCATTTAGATCAGGTATTTTGCATGAAATACCATAGAAGTCTATTTTGGGTGAATTTTTAGTGTTTTGGGCATTAAGGGGTTAATAGCAAAAAATGCTCCAGGGATTTCACCGGGCACCCTCTTGAATCCTTAAGACGGGACCCCCAGCAGCAAGAATCAGTTGAGAAAAAAACTTTAACCGACAAAACCACGTTCAGCCAAAAATCACCCTTTGGCTCCCGGACTACCAGGGGCTGAACAAGTCAGGTTCTTGGAGGTAATATGAAGGATGTTGTTTCTGTGTTCTTCCACTAGGAGGAGCAGGTGAGCTGCAGTACGGTACGTTTTCGGAAAGTCCAGCATGAGCTGGATGACGCCGAGGAGAGAGCCGACATTGCCGAGACCACAGTGAACAAACTTCGGATTCGGACACGTGAACAAGCTAGCAAAGTGGCACTGGTAGGTGTGATTCAGGACGACACACCCTGAGCTTCGTGGATTAGCGATTTATTTTCTGTACAAAGAAAAACAGCCAAAGGTTTCTACATTTTAACATTATTTTAGAAATAAACTCACCTGCACATCCGAGGTCACATGACTGCTGCTGTATCTCACCTGAACTTTACCTGAGTGATGGATGTGAAACGTTTTTTCAGTGAAAGTGAAGAAGGATGAACCCAGAATATAAACACACAGATCTGCTTCATCATTAAAACCAAATCTTCATCCTCTTGTTCACTGTGAAGATGTAAAAAAAGGTAAAGTTCAGGAGAGACACAGCTAAGACGAAGGCCGACAGGTGAGTTCATGTCTCTAATAACCTCAGAATGTAGAAACATCTGAAAACATCTCAAATAGAAGAATCTTCAGTCCAGGAAGCTCAGCGTGTCTGATCATGACGGCTCCTTCAAATTCAGGACGAAGTTCAAAATTGAAGTTTCCAGATAGTCCATTTGTGTTTCTGCAGATCGCCGAGTGACTCCAAACACCTGAGCTGTCGGTCTGCAGGCACCCAGATCAACCTGCTGTGTGTGTGTGTGTGTGTGTGTGTGTGTGTGTGTGTGTGTGTGTGTGTGTGTGTGTGCTCTTTTTCAGGAGTTTAAGTTTTACAGGTCAGATTAAAGGTCATTACTCATGGACCTTTACTCTGACAGGAGTGTGTGCCTTTATGTAATCAAATGCATTAATCAGTTTTGGATTGAAGTGTCACGGTTGTGTATATTTTTGACAGCTGGACTTTCCTTTGGGTGTTTTTGACTCTGAATGACTAACAGGTAGAAAAACTGTGAATGTCTCTGCAGCAGTTCGAGTCGAATACCTGAGGAGGAGGAACAGATACACAAACATGTTATTGAAACATCATTAATGTACAGACCTCTTAATGACGTTTACCTACCTTATTCTTGGGGGCGCTAATGGAGAATCGATTATGGACGCAACTTCCAGTGATGCATGATCAAGCCCAGCAGCATATCCTTACGCAGTGTTGCGCAGTTCGCGGCTGTATGAACAACCAGACGAAGCTCAATATGTGGCTACAAAAGCAACGTCTTGAACTCGCGCCTCTAACTAAGAGCCAGTGTTCATTTGACAGTTGGTACCGTTTCCATCACCTACCGATCGAAGAGGAACCCAGAAGGATGTGGCTGAAGAACCAGAATTTAAAAAGACCACCAAAAACATTCTACGTGTATTCTTTTCACTTCGTGGACAAAAAGCCCATGGAAGCAAACCTATACCCTACTTTGGTGTTAGAATATGATAAACCACCAGAGAAGAGACGCTGGGTGCTAAAGAGGAATCACAGCAGTGTCACGGGAGCAACACAGCTCTGTATTAAATAGGCAATAACATGTATTACCCTTTTCCGAACAGTTGATGTGTAAGCTGTGTTTGGACTACTCGTCAGTATGAAGCTAAAATGCCACAATTTCAGGAAAGACATAACAACAATGTTGGACAATGCAGTTGTAGCTGTTATTATGTACCAGGATAGCAAGTAGTGGGGTTCATGGAAGTTAAATGGGGTGGAATGGATGTGAATAAAAAATCCTAATGCATCATGTCAGGGCAGCGGGATTGTAAGCTGATCTTGTCTGAGCTCCGACAGTTGATGTTCCCACATAGTTGATGTCTCACAGTCGTGGGTTCACGCGAACAATATTTGTCAACACGCACGTCCCACCAGTCACGCCCACAATTAACGGAAGGGCTCATGGAGTCCCGTTAGAATAGAGCTGTGATACCTGCTGATGTTCCATTCCCACAGATACACTCTTTATTAGCGCTGTCATTTGTCAACAAATGCCGCTTCCAGTCCATCCTGGAAGTCGCGCCCATAATTCATGCAAGAGCTCATGGAGGCTCGGAATAAGGTGGATATTTCTCACATAAAACCGTTACAGCGTCACATGACCCAAGAGTCTGGCTATGGTCAGGGTGAGGGACTACAGTCACCCAGAAACTCCTAAAACACACCACTGATCCCAGAAACCAGCAGAGGTCGACAATTCTGCAGGAAACAGACTTTAATGTCAGTCTGAAGGGGGTTTGATGCCCCGAGCTTAGAGTCTGAGGACAGGGTCCAGTTTTGACCTCTTAAACCTCTGCCTGATGTTGGAGTGTGTCTCCTTATGTGTTCACACTGATGTGAATGAAATTATTCACTTGTTCGTTCACGCTCCAATATTTTCTATAGACATATGACTAATAGAACTGTTTCTAACATACATGGTCGTCTACACTTGGAGGAAAATCTGACCGCCTCACTCACTTTCCTCCAATCAGCTCTCTTTATTCCGGTTTCCATGGAAACAACAGGTGGTACGGTATAGTTCAGGGAAGCATTTAAAGTGACCGTAAGAGAATAAACAGTAAACTAAAATACCTGTACTGACTCCTCCTCTGCTGCCCCCTGGTGGTCAACATCTGCCAGTGCACAAAGACACAGAATCACAGATCAGAGAGTTCAACTGTTTTCATGTGTTTTAATTTTGATGTGATCTGTTTCAGTGAAATAAAGTTAAAGTGTGAAAAAATAAAGAATACCTAAAAACTCCAGTTTGTGATCTAGATTCTGAAACACAACGACACTTGAAGGTTAAACATCAGGATGAGTAGAGACATGGTCCTCGGTCCTCTATCCTTGGTCCTCTATCTTTGGTCCTTGGTCCTCTATCCTTGGTCCTCTATCCTTGGTCCTTTATCCTTGGTCCTCTGTCTTCTATCCTGGTCCTCTGTCCTCCATCCTTGGTCCTCTGTCCTTGGTCCTCTCTCCTCTATCCTTGGTCCTCTATCTTTGGTCCTCTGTCCTCTGTCATTGGTCCTCTGTCCTTGTTCCTCTATCTTTGGTCCTCTATCCTTGGTCCTCTCTTCTTGGTTCTCTGTCCTCTATCCTTGGTCCTTTGTTCCTCTGTCCTCCATCCTTGGTCCTCTGTCCTCTCTTCTTGGTCCTTGGTCCTATGTCCTCTGACCTTGGTTCTCTGTCCTGTTGATTGGTTCTGAGGTTTTATCGTCTACATATATAAATTTAAAAAAAATCTAAGGGTTCAACTTGCAGCATTGACCTCATCATTAGTCTTTCTACTTTTTTGATGAGCAGGTTTGATCTGAGCATGTGCAGAGCACTCTGGGCTCTTATTGGTTGGTGTTACAGGTGTTCTGCAGGTCTTGTGAAAACCTCCTTCTGCTGAAGTGGACCATAATCACAAACACAGACTCTGAAACTGAACAGCTTCTTTTAGTCGTGACACTTTATTCACAAACTATAACCAATCAGTGAGTCCACAGGTCTGACTGTACAGGTGTGTTAGAGCAGGATCACATGATTCTTCATCCTCCACTCAAAGTGCTCAGCAGTTTGTCCTTCAGTGTGTGTGTGTGTGTGTGTGTGTGTGTAGTCCAGAACAGTTAGATTAGAGTGTGTTTTAGAGAAACACACCTACACGTGTACAAATACATTCAAACAAACAGATCGTTGTTAGACAGCAATAGCACCGCAGACCAAAAACATGAGGGTTAAAAAGAGCGATAAAAAAACTCTACAGACCAATCAGCCACCCCTATTACGGGGGGGGCAGAGCCTCCTAAAACAGGGTTAGATCATAAAACCTGCAGTTTCCCTTCAACAAGAGGTCACATGACAGGATGGACACAGGGAGTCATGTCTACAACAAACATGATAACCAACAATTACAGCTGACGTTAGCATTCGGAAAAATAAAGAAACCTTTCCTGTTTTTAAAACTGCAGCAGCTTAAGGGTTAACGAAGATCGGAAACTTAACGATGATTGAAAACTCAACGATGATCGGAAACCTAATTAAAATAAAAACATTTCCTGTTTTTAAAACTGCAGCAGCCGAAGGGTTTACGAAGATCAGAAGCTTAACAATGATCAGAAACTTAACGATAATTGGAAATTTAACGATGATCAGAAACGTAATTCAGATAAAAACCTTTCCTGTTTTTAAAACTGCAGCAGCTAAAGTGTTAACGATGATCGGAAACTTAATGATAGGAAACTGAATGATGATCGGAAAATTAAAGATGATTGGAAACTTCACAGACATTAAAACCAGATCAGAGTTTTGACTCAAATGTTGGTAAAAAGTGAGAAAAACAAAAGTCTCTTTGAGTCTCAGGACTCTGTGAGAGACAACGTGAGTGAACAGTTCAACAGTTACAGAATAATGTTTCTGAGTGGATTTGGACCAGGACCAGAACCAGGACTGGATGGTCCTGATCTTCAGGGTAATAAAAACAGACAGGACTCTGGAGTGGAAATCACAGCATGGACTCAGAATCACCTCAAAGACCATTGACTGTAAAACTCAGTTCACCACTAATGAAAGAGGGGACCAGACAGAACCAGGATCCAGAACCACCACAGAGACTTCTGTGGACTCTCATGTTATCTTTAAAGAAGAGGGACCCCCTGGACTATGGGGACCATCAGAGTCCAGGTCATCTGTGAAGACTCCATTAAAGCTGAACTAGATCTCCAGGTTCAGGAGCATCAGGACTCTGGAGTTCGAGTCACCACATGGGTTTAAAATCACTGAACTGTTTTTTCCGGGACGAAAAAGACGCATCCCGGGGAAGACTTTTGCTGGGGAAAGTCCCGCCTCCTTCGCCTCTGATTGGCTAGAAAAGCTGGAAACGTCATCACACGCTTAAGCCAAACGGTCAGCACTTATAGCCAATCAGAGACGATAAGATAAGCACATGACACTATAGTAACAACCGTTAGCTTACGTTAGCACAGATTAAAGTTCAAACAAAGACGTTTAGCAAACTGTTAAAGCAAGCAAACCATTGTCACATGAGAAATCCAACGCAATGACTCTCCACAAGTTGTCCTTCAGGTCGTTATCTTTGTAGTATTTGTCTTTTAAAATGCTGGTCGGCTGTGTTGGATATACCGGTGAACCTGACATTGCAACAACACGCAATCTGATTGGTCAGAAGTGGACACACACTATGCGAAACTTTAGAAAAATCAACCATGATCCGAAAAAATAAATGCCGCAATATCACAGGAAGGGAAAGTGTTGCTCATGTGAACGCTTGTATTGACAGGATACGGGTTTGAAAAAAAATATTGACGTCTAAAATAATTGCACGAAAAAAACGCTCCTGAGTTGAATTTTATGTCGACTCGCATATATATCGTTAACCCTGATATGTTTCCAGATTTGATCTATTTATACTTTTTTTTTTTTGAACAGTTCGGCAAAGTTACAACAATTAGACTTTATACGAAAAACGTCTTAAACGCAGCAGCATTAAAGTTTCTGTGTGACATAAGGGGGACTCCTCTGTGGTCTCGCTCATGTTCTGGTCCTTCTGCAGGCTGACCCACATCCACTCATGATAAAAACATTCACTGGTCGCTCCTCACTTTAAAAATATGGAATATCCCTTTAAGGGCAGAAAAGGTTCAAATCTGCAGTCATCAATTCTTAAAGGTTCAACAAACACACCTGTGAGAACAAACCAATCAGAGCAAACAGGAAGTCAAGTTTGTCTGTGACGACCATCATGATATACAGTATATACAGAGAATCTCAATGTGTGTGAGTGAAGGTGAAAGGCATCTTGGGAAATGTAGGACATTGCAGCAGAGCGGGCAAACAAATGTAAAAAAAAACAATAAAGACATTTTTTTATAAGACGGAGGGAGGAACAGATAAACACGGCTTTATCACGTCTAAATATTCAAGTTTTTCAACGTTAAAATAAAACTCAGTGTTTCTGGGAAATGTAGTTTTTATCAAATTAAACATTTAAATTAAATCTTTGTTTTCCTGTGTAAATCAGACGGTTCGACTTTATATCTGAGTCTGAGGAAAAATACTGGCTAGATAAAAACTGAGAGAGAAGAGGAGGAGCCTGTCTGTGCAGGAGGATGCTGATTGGACTCTGATGTTTGATGGTTAAAATAAACAACATGACATCACTTTGTAGTCCTGTTTTCATTGGCTCCTGGGGACGATGTGACCTGTTTTCAACATTGTTTTCTTCAGGGCTGCAGTGTGGCATCATGGGAGCTGTAGTCAGTCACCAGGTTAGTACAACTGTAGTCATCAGTTAAGATGTCGGTCACCACGGCAACCAACGCTAAAGTTAGTGGGAGGGGTTTAAGAAAAGGAAGGGAATGACATCACCATTACATCAGCGGTAATGTCACAACATTCAATAGTTTTTTTTTTTTTTGCTTAGCAACATGGAAACAAACATGGCCGCCGGGGGGGGGGGGGGGTTAAGGGCGTTGGTTCATCCCAGCGTCTCCCTGAGCAGCAGGTTTAAAGGAAGTCATGGAGGCGGCAGGATGGCGAGGTTGGGGGTGTGGTCATCAACCCGCACCTTTAGCGTCGTCTTAACGACCATGACCTGCTCCATTAGTCTGCTGTGGGCGGGGTCAGGAATCTGCTCAAGCCAACCAGGAGGCTCAGCCCTTCCAGCCATCCCAGATTGGACCTCTACTTAAAGGAAACACAAGTCAAGTCAGGTTCAGGTTCTGGTTCTGGTTCAGACCAGTCAGAGCAGTTTACCAGTCAGACCAGTTTGTCTGTGTGTGAGGTCCAGTGAATACTGTGTTTACAGAGGAGCATGCAGACGACAAAAACAAGCTGACAGATCAGGGATCAGCAAGAGAGGAAAGTAAACGAGAGGGCGAAAAAAAACATTTAACTACAACGCAGAAAAACACACAGAAACACACAGGAAAACATGATGCTGCGGATGAACTAACTGTTCAGATTCAGATCAAGGATTTGACTCGCCTGTTTACTTCAGATTAAAGATAAGACTCACCTGTTTACTTTAGATCAAGAATAAGACTAACATGTTTAGTTCAGATAAAGGATTTGACTCGCCTGGTTTTTTGTTTTTTTTTTCAGATAAAGAACTAGACTCACCTGTTTAATAAAGATTAAGGATAAAACTTAAATGTTTAGTTCAGATTAGGAATTGGACTCACCTGTCTAGTTCAAATTAAGGATTTGACTCATCTGTTTACTTTTGATGAAGAACTAGACTCACCTGTTTACTTCAGATTAAGGATAACACTCACTTGTTTGTAGTGGGGAAAAGAGTACGTGGGAGCAAATAAAAATAAATCTAAAAACATCCTTTAAAGTAGTTTGTAAGTTTATTGGCAGATTTTATTTGTACATATTTCAACGCGTAAACGGTGATTTCCTCACACTGCCTTTTTTTTCTTCTTCATCTGATGGTCACATGTCATCTGCAGACACATTTGGGGTTAAGAGGAGTTTTCTAATCTGCTTCAATAAATTCTGAATGATGACTGATATGCTGCATGAAATTGGAACCTGGAGCTTGGCAAATATTAGTGCATTGCTTAGACTTCATGCTATATTCAGGCCGTCCGAGGAAAACCTGTAACGTTCATAGAGAACGTCATCAGGTAAATCAAACGGATTTGAACGATCATGAATAAACGCGAAGCGCTCCTCTCACTATCCGTGCAACGATGTCCCCGGGATCCGGCAAAAGTGGGCAAGCCATTTTCCAAGAGATCCGATTGGTCATTGGGCAGTCTTTTATACAGTGCCTGACAAAAGTCTTGTCACTTATCCATTTTGTAGAAACAACAGCTTATAACCTGACTTGTCATTAATCCATTGGTTTTAGAAATGGCTCATATGAAAGCTAAAACCCTCCCAAATTATGTTTAAAATCTAAAATAAATTTCCTTCACTGAAGAAAGATTGATCATTTAATGAACACAGAAAGGTCAGATTTTGGCAAGACAAAAGTTTTGACGCCTACATAGAGTAATGTGAAAATTGAACAAATAATTTACTTCAAATACAAAAATATGTTGCACAACATCAGTGAATCAAGTAGTGGTGCTGTGAGATCCATATTTAATATCTTGTATGACTTCCATGAGCCTGAAGAACTGCATCCATGCGGTTCGACAACGATTCATACAATTTATTGATGAAGTCATCAGAAATAGCAAAGAACGCAGTCTTTCATGCCTCCCAGAGTTCATCAAGATTCTTTGGTTTCGTCTTCCATGCTTCCTCTTTCATTTTACCCCAGACATGCTCGTTGATGTTCATGTCTGGTGACTGGGCTGGCCAGTCCTGGAGCACCTTGATCTTCTCCGCCTTGAGGAACTTTGCTGTAGAGATCTGAGTATGCGATGGAGCACCATCCTGCTGCAAAATTTGACCCCTTTTATGGTTGGGAATGTAAGAGGTAGCTAATACTTCTTGATATTTTAGGCTATTGATATTGCCTTTCACCCTGCAAATCTCTCGCACACCTCCATGCTGGATGCAACCCCAGACCATGATTTTTCCACCACCAAACTTAATTGTTTTCTGGGTGAATCTCGGATCCATGCAGACTCCAGTAAGTCTCCTGCGATATTTGCAGCGGTTGGGATGTAATTCAACCGAAGATTCATCAGAAAAATCCACCTTCTGCCACTTTTCCAGCGTGCATCCTTTTAGCAGGCTGTGGGCCTTGGCAAATGCCACACGTTTTTTTAATTGCTTTTTGTTTAGTGCTGGTTTCTGGGCACTGATTCCACCATGGAGGCCATGTCGAGACAGAATTCAACAAACTGTTCTGGTTGACACAGGGACTTGAGGTGACCAGACCTGGTGGAGCTCTGCTGCAGTGGAAAAGGGGCTGGCCTTGGATTTTCAAGCCAACAAACGGTCCTCCCGAGCAGTTGTCCTTCGGGGTCTGCTGGGCCTGGGCTTGTCAAAAACATCTCCAGTCTCTTCAAATCTTTTTCTTATCCTTTGTACTTGACGCTGAGACACATTGAAGGTGTCAGCCACCTCAGCAGTGGATCTGGTCTTCAGCCTCTTGATGATCAAAGCTTTGGTCTCAGGGTGAATCTTAGGCATGTTGTCAGAGATCAAGTTGCAGTTGATGTGAAGGTCTGGTGTGCTGTGGTTCTTTCTATACACCCACTAATTGATTGGTCAATAATTGATCACAGGTGAGGCTGTAATCTTGGATTGGGTGCATCATATGACAAGGCGACAAGACTTTTGTCTGTGCAAAAACTGACTTAGTGGGCTTTACCAAGCTGTGAACATTAGAATGCTTTTCAGCAGTTTCATTTGGCACCAAAACATTATTTCAAACACTGTTGGGATTAAAATTAGACTTTTCTTGTAAAAAAAATTTTATTGCACATATATTTGAGGGGCACTTAAGGTCAACTTGTACCCAAGCGACAAGACTTTTGTCAGGGACTGTACCTGCTGAGATCTTATCCTGAAACATAACCTGCTTCTGAGCAGGTTTGGCGTTGCGCGTAAGTTACCGGGGCAACGGACCCGGATAAAAAGAGATCCACCTTCGTAGTACGGAAAACCCACAAGTTATCTCGCTAAAACCAAATCCAGCTTTGTAGTACAGGCCTCTGATTACTTCAGATTAAGGATGATAGTCACCTGTTTGCTTCAGATTAAGGATTACACTCACTTGTTTACTTCAAATTAAGGATTAGACTCACCTGTTTACTTCAGATTAAGGATTTGACTCATCTGTTTACTCTTGATAAAGAACTAGACTCACCTGTTTACTTCAGGATAAAGAACTACACTCACCTGTTTACTTCAGATTAAGGATTTGACTCACCTGTTTACTTCAGATTTAGGATTAGACTCACATGTTTACTTTGGATTAAGAATTAGACTCCCCTGTTGCCCATAATTCTCTTGTCTTGCTCTCAGGTTTTACTCTTTGACTATAATTAAAGTCTAACATCAAACTGCACAGGTGAGTAGAGTGTCCTTAATTTCATTATCAGATGTTTGTTCATATTTTTCTGAGTTTACGTTGTCACGTGTGTGTTTTTTTGGTGTTTTTTCATGTGTGTAAAGGAGGAGGACTCAGTGTCAAATACTCTTTAATGCTCTCTAATTGAATTAAGTCTTTAATTCTCTTTAATTGAATTAAGTCTTTAATTTTCTTTAATTGAATTAAGTCTTCAATTCTCTTTAATATAATTAACTCTTTAATGCTCTTTAATTTAATTAACTCTTTAATTCTCTCTGTGAATCCAGTCAGCCTAAAACAGAAACCCTCAAAACTTTTGAAAAAAAGGTTGATTTTGTGTGAACTGACAGAAGAAAGACATCAGTGTGTATGAGTAAGACTGGGACGTTTTTTTGCAACCACTGATGGACAAAATGACGAATGAATGGACCGACAGATGGTGCTGTTGAGCGGTAAGCAGTCCAGACAGAAAGGAAGACTCACAGGGTTCGAGACGATGAAGGTCTCTTGACTCGCGGCCACTTCCTTCTTTCAAACAGCCTGATGCAACAAACACACACTGAGTTACACACAAACACACACTGAGTTACACACACTCACACACTGAGTTACACACTAACGCACACTGAGTTACCATGAGGTAAAACCTGAGGTAACCATGCAGCAGGAAACAAGTCTGTGTCTGTTAAGTGTGTGCGTACCTGTAGTCGTCAAAGCTGCTTTGTTCCTGCCCTCCTGATGAAGAGACAGCCAATCAGCAGGTTTTCTTTTGACCGTGTGTGTTAGAACGAGTTCTGGTCTACTCACACATCAGGGAACCTGTATCTTCTAACATAATTATGACATAACCTAACAATTATCATAACCTAATAATAATGATAAACTCATGGTAATCATAAACTAATGATAATAATAATCTAATGATTATCATCACCTAATAATAATCATAACATAATGATAATCATAATCTAGGGATAATTATAATCTTATGATAATCATAACATTACGATGATCACAACCTAATAATAATAATAACCTAATGATAATCATAGTCAAATGATAATTATAACCTAATGATAATCATAACATAACGATGATCACAACCTAATAATAATAATAACCTAATGATAATCATAACATTACGATGTTCATAACCCAATGATAATTATAAACTTATGATAATTATTACTTAATGATAATCATAACCCAATGATAATTATAAACTTATGATAATTATTACTTAATGATAATCATAACCTAATGATAATTATCACCTAATGATGATCATAACCTTTTGATAATAATTCGCTAATGATAATCAGTATCTAACTAGGACTATCAAACAACCTTTTCAGCAGTTTTATTTGAAGTTGGAGACACTGAGATAAAACCTCATAAATGTTGACAAAGTCATATTTGTCGGAAGAAGTATCTGAGAAACTAGTCTGCAGAAAACCAAATAAACTATTTAACAAAGACTCTTATAAACTGGGTCAGAGGTCAGTGTTCTGATCCCAGTACCAGAAAGGCTCAGAGTATGACCTTTGGACCCTCACAGAGGATTATTACTATAATACTATTATTATTATCTATGAAGACTACAGTACCTTCCCCTCTGGTTACGGCACTAACTCGTCTCAGTAATCCAGCAGCTGTTGGAGGTTTGGACGTCACATGGACACGAAGGGAGTGGCTAAAACTCCAGATGTGTCCTCACATAAAAGCCCCCCCCCCCCCCCCCCTTATTGACCCCAAAGTGACCGAAGTTTCCCTCAGACTCAGATGGGTTAATAACCCAGTATGAGTGTATCTGAGATGGTGTGTGTGTGTGTCATACCCTGGTCCACTGAGCGTGTGCGAGGGTTACACTGTTTGTGTCCTCTGCAGCCTCTCAGCTCCATCAGCTGAACGTGGAGCTGGTTGAGGACGGTCCGATCCAAAGAGCTGACGGCGTTGATCAGCTGAAACAGAAAGACAGAAACATGAAGCTGTGACCTTCACAGTGACCTCTACACCTGAACTCAGATGAGAGGAGGCGTGGTCAACATAATTACTGTAGGGACTGATGACACAGACGTTTCAATCAGAGCTCTGAAGTGTTGAATAACCCTAATCTTCCACTAGATGGCAGCAGCTGCTTTTTAAGAGCATGATATGATATGTAGAGTGTGGAGGTGACAAAGGTGAGAGAGAGAGAGAGAGAGAGAGAGAGAGAGAGAGAGAGTGTGTGTGTGTGTGTGTGTGTGTGTGTGTACCTGGTACGGGTCCGTGTTGAGGTCAAAATACTCCAGGAATCCGGTGGCAAACTCACAGAACAGGAAGTTGTGGGACTCGTTGATGGTCCTCAGACACCAGTAGGTGTTGTTGTTGGCGCTGGTGCAAGCGCAGAACGGACCCACTGCAACACACACACACACACACACACACACACACACACAGGTAAGAACACCTGTGCTTTAACAGGTTAGTGTGTGTGTGTGTGTGTGTGTGTGTGTGTGTGTTTGTGTATGTGCGTCTTACTGTTCCACTGTTCCAGTATGGCGGCGTGTGCCAGTGCTGGTTGTCGTGTGTGAAGCATGTGAGTCCAGGCATCGAACAGGTGTCGTTGTTTCGGATCCTTTTGATCATCTTCCTCATTTTTTTCCTCCTCTTCTGTTCCTTGATAAACCACGCCTTCTTGTCCCGAGCTCCGCCCTTTCTGCGCACACACACACACACACACACACACACACACACACACACACACACACACACACACACACAAATGTTTACATTTTAAGGTCATATGATACAAATACAGAGGGGTCAGGTTCAGGGGGTCAGAGTCTCAGGTGGGACGGTTTCACCTGAAAGGATGGACTCCTCCTCCTCCTCCTCCTCCTCCTCTGAACCTCATCTTGGTCTTGAGTTTGGACTGGTACCTGAAAAACAGGGATGACCTTTAACCCCAGCAGCTGTTGGACCTCTCACCCTGACCTACTGCTGCGTCACTTACAGGTATTTATTACAGTCACACTCAAGGGGGCGGGACTTCTTCAGGTGACCTCTGACCTCTCTCAGGTTCTTGATCTTGGTCTGCAGCGTCTCGATCTGACACAGAGAGGAGGTTCAGTCGAAGTTCAGAGACAGCGTTCAGGTTTTTAGTTCTATTTTTGGACGTACCTCGTGGTCGATGTGGAGCTTGTGGTCCTTCCACGCCTGCAGAGACCGATACACGCCTTTGTCACACTTGACCGTGGCGTTGGACAGGATGGAGCATCTGCAGAAAAAGACATCAGAAACAACATGTTGGCATTAAGACTCAAAACATACAGGATCTGTACTAAGCGTACTCCGTCAGCGTCACGTCATTTCTCTGTAGAGCAGCATTGAGTGTCTCATACAGGATCAGTGTATTTGGAGCATTTCAGCAGCTTTAAGTGTCTCATACAGGATCAGTATATTTGGAGCATAGCAGCAGCGTAGTGCAGCATTGGGTATCTCATACAGGATCAGTGTATTTGGAGCATAGCAGCGTAGTGCAGCGTTGGGTCTCTCATACAGGATCAGTGTATTTGGAGCGTAGCAGCAGCAGCGTGGTACAGCGTTAGGTATCTCATACAGGATCAGTGTATTTGAAGCATAGCAGCAGCGTAGTGCAGTGTTAAGTATCTCATACGGATCAGTGTATTTGGAGCATAGCAGCAGCGTAGTGCAGCGTTAAGTATCTCATACAGGATCAGTGTATTTGGAGCATAGCAGCAGCATAGTGCAGCTTTGGGTATCTCATACAGGAATAGTGTATTTGGAGCGTAGCAGCAGCATAGTGCTGCATTGGGTATCTTATACAGGATCAGTGTATTTGAAGCGCAGCAGCAGTGTAGTGCAGTGTTAAGTATCTCCTACAGGATCAGTGTATTTGGAGCTTAGCAGCAGCGTAGTGCAGCGTTGTGCATCTCCTACAGGATCAGTGTATTTGGAGCGTAGCAGCAGCGTGGTGCAGTGTTAGGTATCTCATACAGGATCAGTGTATTTAAAGCATAGCAGCAGCGTAGTGCAGCTTTGGGTATCTTATACAGGATCAGTGTATTTGAAGCGTAGCAGCAGCGTAGTGCAGCGTTGGGTATCTCATACAGTATCAGTGTATTTGGAGCATTGTAGCAGCAGCGTAGTGCAGTGTTAAGTATCTCATACGGATCAGTATATTTGGAGCATAGCAGCAGCGTAGTGCAGCATTGGGTATCTCATACAGGATCAGTGTATTTGAAGCGTAGCAGCAGCGTAGTGCAGCGTTGGGTGTCTCATACAGTATCAGTGTATTTGGAGCATTGTAGCAGCAGCGTAGTGCAGTGTTAAGTATCTCATACGGATCAGTATATTTGGAGCATAGCAGCAGCGTAGTGCAGCATTGGGTATCTCATACAGGATCAGTGTATTTGGAGCATAGCAGCGTAGTGCAGCGTTGGGTCTCTCATACAGGATCAGTGTATTTGTAGCGTAGCAGCAGCGTGGTGCAGCGTTAGGTATCTCATACAGGATCAGTGTATTTGAAGCGTAGCAGCAGCGTAGTGCAGCGTTGGGTATCTCATACAGGATCAGTGTATTTGGAGCTTAGCAGCAGCGTAGTGCAGCGTTGTGCATCTCCTACAGGATCAGTGTATTTGGAGCGTAGCAGCAGCGTGGTGCAGTGTTAGGTATCTCATACAGGATCAGTGTATTTAAAGCATAGCAGCAGCGTAGTGCAGCTTTGGGTATCTTATACAGGATCAGTGTATTTGAAGCGTAGCAGCAGCGTAGTGCAGCGTTGGGTATCTCATACAGTATCAGTGTATTTGGAGCATTGTAGCAGCAGCGTAGTGCAGTGTTAAGTATCTCATACGGATCAGTATATTTGGAGCATAGCAGCAGCGTAGTGCAGCATTGGGTATCTCATACAGGATCAGTGTATTTGGAGCATAGCAGCGTAGTGCAGCGTTGGGTCTCTCATACAGGATCAGTGTATTTGTAGCGTAGCAGCAGCGTGGTGCAGCGTTAGGTATCTCATACAGGATCAGTGTATTTGAAGCGTAGCAGCAGCGTAGTGCAGCGTTGGGTATCTCATACAGGATCAGTGTATTTGGAGCTTAGCAGCAGCGTAGTGCAGCGTTTGGAATCTCATACAGGATCAGTGTATTTGGAGCGTAGCAGCAGCGTGGTGCAGCGTTAGGTATCTCATACAGGATCAGTGTATTTGAAGCATAGCAGCAGCGTAGTGCAGCGTTGGGTATCTCATACAGGATCAGTGTATTTGGAGCGTAGCAGCAGCGTAGTGCAGCGTTGGGTATCTCATACAGTATCAGTGTATTTGGAGCATTGTAGCAGCAGCGTAGTGCAGTGTTAAGTATCTCATACGGATCAGTATATTTGGAGCATAGCAGCAGCGTAGTGCAGCATTGGGTATCTCATACAGGATCAGTGTATTTGGAGCATAGCAGCGTAGTGCAGCGTTGGGTCTCTCATACAGGATCAGTGTATTTGTAGCGTAGCAGCAGCGTGGTGCAGCGTTAGGTATCTCATACAGGATCAGTGTATTTGAAGCGTAGCAGCAGCGTAGTGCAGCGTTGAGTATCTCATACAGTATCAGTGTATTTGGAGCATTGTAGCAGCAGCGTAGTGCAGCGTTGGGTATCTCATACAGTATCAGTGTATTTGGAGCATTGTAGCAGCAGCGTAGTGCAGCATTGGGTATCTCATACAGGATCAGTGTATTTGGAGCGTAGCAGCGTAGTGCAGCGTTGGGTCTCTCATACAGGATCAGTGTATTTGGAGCGTAGCAGCAGCATGGTGCAGCGTTAGGTATCTCATACAGGATCAGTGTATTTGGAGCATAGCAGCAGCATAGTGCAGCTTTGGGTATCTCATACAGGAATAGTGTATTTGGAGCGTAGCAGCAGCATAGTGCTGCATTGGGTATCTTATACAGGATCAGTGTATTTGAAGCGCAGCAGCAGTGTAGTGCAGTGTTAAGTATCTCATACAGGATCAGTGTATTTGGAGCGTAGCAGCAGCGTTGGGTATCTCCTACAGGATCAGTGTATTTTGAGCGTAGCAGCAGCGTGGTGCAGCGTTAGGTATCTCATACAGGATCAGTGTATTTAAAGCATAGCAGCAGCGTAGTGCAGCGTTAAGTATCTCATTCAGGATCAGTGTATTTGGAGCATAGCAGCAGCGTAGTGCAGCTTTGGGTATCTTATACAGGATCAGTGTATTTGAAGCGTAGCAGCAGCGTAGTGCAGCGTTGGGTATCTCATACAGGATCAGTGTATTTGGAGCATTGTAGCAGCAGCATAGTGCAGTGCCTGTCAGCTGGGCTCAGTATAGAGGAAACAACATGCTTACAACAGGTATTTTTTCCTTTCTGTGGTTGATTTCCTGATAATTGGGATATAATTCAGTGACTGTCTGTGAAAAAGCTTAAAGTGATTTTACAGTTTGGGTTTCCCCCGACACGTTTCTGATACAAAGCAGCAACGCGTCCTGTGTGCGACGTCGCATCGATTTAAATGGAAACCTATTCGCTGTGTGAAACTCTGATCATAGTCGGACAAAGGTGTTTACATGTCCTTCAGTTGTCCGGTCTTAAGGTCCTTTCCCACCGGGAGCACTTTTTTTTGTGCGATTATCATATACGATATACTTCGGTATATGGTCAGGCACAGAGTCTCCTTTAGTCAGGATTAATTATCAGCTGTTATGGAAACACTCCCAACTTCACAGGAACACCCAGAGAAGAAGAGCGAGTTTAGACTTTCAGAGGACTCATATCAGCTGAGGGACTCCTGAAAACTCTTTAATATCCAGGATCTTGTCTGTAGTCTCAGTCCTCTGTAGTCACCTTAAGATATGAGTGAGTGATGGAGTGATTGTCGAGGAAATTTTCAGCCTGAGTGAGTCTGGACTCCCTGGACTCTATTTTCATGTTCGCTGGTGAGGTGACGGAGGGTGGCGGACCCCGCCCAGTTGTATTTTCATCTGGCGGAGCCCGGGGTACAGCCAGTTTGGTATTTTCTTGGACTGAGGCGCACGGAGGAGAGCCGAGATCCGCCAAGCTGGGCGTGGTGGCGTGGCAGGGGGAGGTGTCGACAGAATCAGCGGGCACAGTGACATTTTCGTGTTCGCCAGTGGCGTGTAATGTGCGCTGAAAGCTCGCCGATTCAGACCTGGTCAGCTTTCAGCGCAGCTGGTCTAGTGGTATTTTGGTAGACCAGCGGCGTATCTGCATACATCACTGATGCCTCACCGGCAGGTTTCCACAGTATCAGGCACATTTCTGTGCAATAAATAATCATCAACAACTATCAATCTGAGTCAGCACATACATTTAGATCTATATAGATATATTCTGATCTATATCTGATCTGATGAGCGCGTTTGGCAAGCGTTTGGACACACAAACTGACCGAATCAACACAGCTGAAAATGCATTAAATTAAATTAAATATCTAGTAAATAAACACACGATGAAGTTAACAAGATATGTGATTCGTCTCCCTCTTTTTCTTTCTTCCTCTTATTTCTCGCACAGCTCGACCTGGACATGTCTCTGTGTCCTCTCTCCATCCTGCAGCGGCTGAACAGATGATTTGTTTCAATGATCAGATGAGTTATTTAATTTAAGCCTACATGCGGATATTATAATATTCAGTTTTGTGAGCCAAATTTATTTTATATGCCAACATCTATGAAAGAAAGAGCCAAGCCACGGAGCGCGATGCGTCATTTACGCACAGATGGTTCCGATTTTAATGCTTTTATTGGAGTTTATGTTGTGATCTGTGCGCTCAACCCACCTTTGTCACGTGAGGTTTGAATATATGAGTTAACTTTATGTGAGTGTCTTTATTTGTGGAAAAGGGTGTTTGTCTTACCAGTGGGTCCAACATTACACACACCAAATCCATCTGTGCTCATATGAGAGAGTGTGGAGGACACTTGTTGAGGAGCTGCCTTCTGTCGCCATCTTGTGGCATTACTGTCTTCAGACATCTCTTGATCTCTTTGACTACTTCATGAAAATAGTAATACGCCTCGCTGCTGGCAGATTTAAAGGCAAGGAAAGGAGCTTATGTGATTGGTGAAAACAGGTCTCGGCTGTGTTAAAACCACTCCACGCCCTCTCTCCTCCCTCGCAACGACTTACGCCGCTGGGAGGAGCTGAGTTAGGGAGGGGGGATACTTACGCCAGGCTGCGCCTCTCACCAAAATACCAAATTGTGTTTGGGAATGCCTTGTCGGCGCGGCGGACCTGACTTACGCTGCGCCTGCGGCACGTCTCCGGCGAGGCACGAAAATAGAGCCCTCTGTGTCTTCTCTGATGGGAGTCCATCTCTCTTTTTTCTTTGAAGTATTTTTTTTTCTGAGAACGTTAAAACTGAGAGAGAAGCTCCAGTGATGTTACGAACACGCTCCTTTAATGTTTTGATTTTTCAGTAATTAAAGGCCTCTCTATTTCCAAATCTTTAATTAGATTGAAGTGTCCAAGTAACTGTGTTTGTTACTTTTTGCTCATTTTCCTTAAAAAAAAAAAAAAAAAAAAAAAAAAAAGTTTTTATCTTGGGGGAGGGACGTCAGTCACGTTTTCATCACAATGACCGCTCACGTGTTAAACATGTGCACAAACACGTAAAGCAGCTGCCCTCAAATTTACCATTAACAACAACAGAGGGAGAAGAGAGAGGCTGGAAATACAGACATTGATTTAAAGACTTTATTCTATTTTTCAGTAAAAAATAGTTCATGTTTTGTCAGTTAAGAAAGACTTTCTTTATTTCTTGAAAACATTTTTTTTTTTTTTACATTCCTGTTAAAATTACAATGAAGTGTTGGAAAGAAAACGTTTTTTATTTCTAACGTTGAAGCTGAGTGTAAAACTAACCTGTTAACTATCTGAGCAACTCTTTAAAGGAGTTATCCGTAATCCAATTACTATTTAAATGTAACCATGGCAACACTGCTGAGCTCTGAATGAAAGTAAACCAGGAAAACCAAACCAGACAAGAAGATCCTCAGACCCACAACAGAAGACCAACCTGACCATCCTGAGGTTCAAGAGCACTGAACACTGAACACACACACACACACACACACACGTCTCACCTGTGTGTAACTCTGAGCGAGTTGGAAGGCAAGTCTTCTTTGCTGGTGGGATCTTCTCCCATGCCACTGAACTCTTCCACAGACTCGTCTCTGATTGGCTGAGCCCAGTTTTCCCCGCCCCCCATGGTGGTGTTGTTACCAGGGTAACCGCTCACAGTCACAGACAGCGAGCGGCTGTAACGGTTCCTGGAGAAACTCTTCAGGACTTTAAACTCTGCAAAAAAAACAGGAAGTTTACAGATTTATATCATTTTACAGGACAACTCTTCATAATCATCATCATCATCATTATCATCTTCATCATCATCAACATTCATCATCTTCATCATTTTTTCATCATCATCATCATCATTATCATCTTCATCATTGTCATCATCATCATTATCATTATCTTCATCATCATTATCTTTATCATCATCATTATCATCATCATCATCTTCCACATTATTATCATTATCATCATCATTAATCATCATCAATATCATCATCATCGTTATCATCTGCATCATTTTTATCATCATCATTATTATCTTTATTATTGTCATCATCATTATCATTATCTTCATCATCATCATTATCTTAATCGTCATCATCATTTTCATCATTATTATCATTTTCATCATTATCTTCATCATCATTATTTTAATTATCATCATCATCATTATCACCATTATCTTTATCATCATTATCTTAATCATCATCATCGTCATCATCATTATCGATATTTTCATCATCATTATCTTTATCATCATCCTCCTCATTATTATCATTATAATTATTTTGATCATCATCATTTTTATCATCATCATCATCATCATCATCATCATTATCATTATTATCTTCATCATTTTTATCATCATCATCTTTATCATCACCATAATCATCATCATTTTCATCATTATCTTCATCTTCATCATCATTATCTTTATCATCATCATCATCATTTTCATCATAATCATCATTATCCTTATCATCATTATCTTTATCATCATCATCATCATCCTCATTTTTATCATTATCATATTCTTCATCATCATCATCATCATCGTCATCGTCATCATTATCATTCTTATCATTATCACCCTCATCATCATCATCATCATCACCATCATCATCATAATCATCATTATCATCATTATCTTCATAATTTTTATCATGATCATTAATATCTACATATTCATCATCATTATCATAATCATCATCATCATCTTTATCCTCATCATCTTTATCCTCAGCATCAACATCATCACCACCGATGTCCACCAGCGACCTCTCCCTATATCTGGGAGGAGATGCAGTACAGCCCCTGAACACCAGGGGGCAGCATCACCTCACAAAAACAGATGTGCGGAACCAGTTTAAGGCTATATCGGGATAAGCGCGCTTAAGTGTGCTTAGCTGAGCGCACAGCCATTATGTGCCGTTATGTGCTGTTATGTACCCTTCCTGTGTCCCATTTCAGAGACCGCAACCGTCGAACGCCGAATTTGAAGTGTGCGTGAGGTCATCACTTAGTGCGCTTCAAATGCGGTCCCAAAACCACACTGCCCCAGCCCCTTTCTCAAGCGGCATTCATGCCGTTGGTATCCCAGAATTCTTTGCGTGCCGCTGCACAGCTGCGCATTTCAGGTGAGAGGCTGGACTTGCTTGGAGACGCAGCGCGTCTTTAAAGAAAATGCAAGATATCCAAAAACAGCTGTGTCTAGGCCTGTCACGATAACAAATTTTGCTGGACGATAATTCTGCTACAAATTATCGCCGATAAACGATATTATTGACACCGTTTTTTTGAATTATAGATAATGACATTAAATGGCATAATAATGCGAGTACACCGTGTCAAAAGTGATAAACTTTAATTTCACCCACGACGAAGACGTAACGTTGACGAGCTAAACATAAGTCGGAGATGACTAAAATGTGACGAGACGAAAGTGCGTTTACGTTGATGGGACGACACGAAAATGACGAACAGAGTTGCAAAACTCAGTCAGTTAAACGCTAAACATATAGGAGCAGCTTCAGTCCGATCTGACAGCTCTCATCAGCCTGCTGTGCTCCTCCAACACAGAGACACACGCGCGCGCACACACGTGGAGTTTTGTGGTTGACGAAAACAAAACTGGTTTAAAGCCGAAATATTCCCACACTTGGGCTGTTGCGTTCGGTTAAGACACCAAAGCTGTCGTGTTCATTCTGTTTGCTTGCTTTTCACTCACGACGCTCACTTGCAGCACTGTATCCAAAAGTCTGTGTCTGTGTGCCTGTGCGCGCCTACGTGTACCTGCGCGCGCGCCCCCTCGTAACAAAGACACTGAATGACTGACAGGAGGGTTCACTAACTCCGTTCATTCCGCTATAGAGCCAACGCCCCCAGGTGCCGAGAAAAATGCGCAGAGTGAGACCTCTTCTCTCATCCAGCGTGTTTGGTAGCGAGAGAGGAGGAAAACAAACGCACGTCAATTATCGAGGCTGGCAAAATGACCGACCTCGTTTTTATTTACCGAGCGATAAGGCGATTTATTGATTATCGCGACAGGCCTAGCTGTGTCTCCAAGCGAGTCCAGCCTCTCATCCGAAATGCGCAGCTGTGCAGCAGCACGCAAAGAATTCTGGGATACCAATGGCACGAAAGCGTGCATAAATGCAAGCTTGAAAAATGCGAAGCTCGCTTAGCATTTCTTAGCATTTCGTGCCAAATGGGACACCGTTCGCGCCGCGTGATGACATCATATACGCTTCAAATGCGCCGTTTGGCGCCGTTCGATGATGCAGTCTCTGAAATGGGACACAACCTAAGTGTAAGAACTTTGTTCTGGAGTTGGTAAAGATCAGATTGATGAAGACATGAGAGAATATCCTGAACCAAAGTCCGACCCTGAAAGACCCTGAACACGTTACTACAGTCATAGTCCCAGTGAACTGGACTGGTTCCAGTCCCAGACCACTCAGTTCTCCTCTTTCTACAGAACAAAGTCTAACCAAAGATGATAGAGGGTCATCAGCTGAGTTTAGGAGGTTACATCAGTTGACGCACAGACCCTCACTGCTGCCCCCTGCTAAAGGAGAAAAACACAAACACTCACTCTTTTTGGAGAAAAACGGCTTCTTGTTGAATGACCTCATCAAGGAGGGCCGCAGGTTCAGAGGTCGGAGGTCAGGGAGGTCGCAGTTGCAGGGGTCAGAATTCCGGTACATCTGGGACTTGAAGCTGATTGGACGCTGACTGCTGACCCCGCCTCTACGGAAGTTTTTAGCTCCTCCCCCTTCATTCTTGCATTTGAAGAGGCGAAGTTTTCCCACGGTGTCCTCAACACACTGCCACTTCTACACACACACACACACACACACACACACACACACACACACACACAGAGGTTGTGGGCAGTCTGTAGCCTGGCTGGGCCATCCAGTTGTGTGAATCACTTGCCGCTCCTTCCCACAACAGTCTGGACTTCGGCCAATTGGGAACTGTTCCCCGGACAACAGGGAAAGGCAGTCCCTGATTGGTCTATGTGTAGATGGTGACGTCTAACACATGCTGCGGGTAAAAGACATTGTTTGCTTGCACACGTTGAAATATTACCAAACCTTTACTCGATGCTTGAGAGCCCTGCAGGGAACACAGTTGCGCACTGTGATGACGTCAGATGTTTGGTTACGGTGATTGGTTACAGTAGTCTGTCTCTCAAGGAAAGTACTCCCGCCCACTTTTAGGGCTCCCAATTGGCCGAAGTCCGGACTGTTGTGGGAAGGAACGGCAAGTGATTCACGCAACTGGATGGCCCAGCCAGGCTAGGCAGTCTGTGGTTCGACACGTTCATTCAGAACCACAGACTGTATATACTGTGGACAAATTGGTTCCTCCTTCCTCCAGTATACAGATTTGAAGCCGAAAAGTTCTCAGTATTTCCGCGTTTTTTCTCCACTTCCTTAAAACCAACATTGCGCAGTAGCATTGTACGCATTCAGCAGAAGAGTCGCTGTGATGACTCTCGTCTCAAAGAGTGTATCACCTGTATAATTTATAAAATTTGTCCACAGCTCCATAAGGAAGTGGAATTTATAACCTATACTGCAGCCCGTCATCAGAGGGCGCTGTTCTTAGAGTGGCTTCACCCAGAGAGGAGGCAGATGGCATCCATTCTAGTTCTAGTTCACTAGGTTTACTCTGGTCTATTCTGGTTTATTCTGGCTTATTCTGGTCTATTCTGGTTTATTCAGGTTTAATCTGGTTTATTCTGGTTTATGCTGGTTTATTCTGTTTTAATCTGGTTTATTCTGGTTTAATCTGGTTTATTCTGGTTTATTCTGTTTTCTCCCCGGTGTCTCGGTGTTGACGGTCTTGTTTTGTTGCTGTGGTTGTTGCTCATTATCAGCAGCTGAATTAATTTCTCCCATTTAACTCTGTGATTATTAAAGAGTGACAAACAGCTGATCGTTAATTTACACTGACTGACTGTTTATTGGAGCAGCAGCCAACACTCACTGTTGCTAAGAGACCAATCAACTGAGAGGGTTTATTTGGACAAGTGTAATTAACCTTCAACAAGTGTGAGCACACAGACCGTCTGTGGAGGTCTGCAGAGGAGTCTGGTTTGTTCTGGAGGAGGATCTGGATCTGGATCTGGATTCTGTTCATGTCGGCTCTTTGTGATTCTGCGTCTGACTCTGTTGTGTTTGTGTTCCCTCTGGTAATTACTGCTGTTATTGTATCTGCATCGCTCTGTTCAGAGGACAACATCTGCTTCTCATCTCTCTGACAGAGAGACAGAAATATCTGCCATGTCAGATATACTGGTGAGTCGCAACAACACGAAATCTGACTGTTTAGAAGTGGACACAGTATGCGAAACTTTAGGAAAATTGACCGTGATCCGAAAAAAAATGCTGCAATATTCCAGGACAGGAAAACGTCACTGATGTGACCGCTTGTATTGACAGGATATGGGTTTGAAAAAAAATATTGACGTCTGAAATAATCCCATGACAAAAACGGTCCCGGTGTGAAAGGACTTTAAGACCGGACAACTGAAGGTCATATAAACACCTTTGTCCGACTATAATCAGAGCTTGAGAACTCCGATTAAGACACCCAGATAATGTGAGTGGAATTCGATTTTCTCTACCATGTAACAGCATAGTCCGGGTCGGAAACAGCGCCGCTGAAAAGACGGGGAGGAGGACACGTTCATGTCAATAATTCGATTTTCTCAGCTGCATGTATACACAGACAAGGAGAGAAGCCTGTTTCGGCAAAAAAACAAATTATGAGCTTAGTCTGATTAAACTGTACATGTAAACACACTGAGGGTCTACAGAGAGACTGAGGGATCAGGTCTGCCTCAGGGGTCTGGACTGGTCTGGATTTGTTCTGGTCTGGGATTGGTGCCGCACCTGTCCAGTCTGCTGACAGGGGGTCTGGTACTCAGCTCGCTGACACAGGTCTTTGACTCGCTGGTGTTTCGGCAGGAAGTTCTCCTCCGCTGACACTTCCTTTCCCTCCACTCGCTGGTGCAACAACTTCCTGTTGGCACAGGAACCAGAGGTGAGGTTAGAGGTCACATGACCACATGTGGTCTCAAACTCCAGAGGGACCTGGATCAGAAACTCTGAATCGTCTTCTTGAGAATCCTACGAGGATCTGAAACCATGGGTGTCAAACTCTGGCCCGAGGGCCAAATTTGGCCCGCAATGTAATTATATTTGGCCCGCGAGGCAATACTAAATGACTACTAGAGCTGGCCCGCCTGTATTATACAGCGCATTCACTAATACTACAAATCTCATCTGCTGCTGTTTTGGCGCGTCAAACAGGACAGGACCCAGAAATGCCCTCTCCTCTGTGACAGTAGTCATAGTGACCTCATACTACAACTATCACTGTGTTACCCCTTCCCAAAAATGGCGAAAAGAAGGTCAGAAAACAGGAGTTTTCTGGACAGGTGGGAGGCAGAATATCTGTTTACATACGTAAAAGACAGACCTGTTTGTCTTGTTTGTGGAGCCAGCCAGTCTATAACTAAGGCTATGTTCACACTGCACAACATTGTACAACATTGGACGACACTATGAAATGAAACACCAGGGCAAGTACAAGGACCTCGACATGACTCAAAGGAGCCAGAAAGTAGAGGAGATGAAAAGATGTTTGGTTTCACAACAGAATATATTCAAAAAAGCCACATCACAAAGTGAAGCTGCTGTTAAGGCTAGTTACACTGTGGCAGCAGAGATTGCAAAATCAGTCCGGCCCTTTAATGAGGGAGAGTTTGTAAAAAAGTGCATGATGAAAGTACCTACAAGGTTTTAAGTTAAATAAGCATTGCTTTTTCCATATTTAATATTAAAGCAAACATTTTTGGGTCCATATTAAAAGGTTCAATTTGTTCAATGTTGGCTCACAACTTTGTTCAAGTTTTACATTTTGGCCCGCTGTGTATTTGAGTTTGACACCCCTGATCTAGACAGACCTGTGATAGACCTGAAGAGAGCATTTTGGAGAATCTCAAGATCTTTGGTGGGATCTTCTGAACCAGGTACTGAGTTAGCAAGATTCAAATGAACATCAGCAAGATCCCAGGAACTATTAGGGACCCGACATAAGCCCAGGAACTTATTGGGGTCCTTGTACCTTTTCTGAGACCCTGAGAACCAACTAAGGAACCAAAGACAGACCCAGAAACCTCTTTGAGATCCTACAAACTTCTGCTAAATCGAGTCAAAGTTGACCAGATCTTGACTGGATGGAAACTTTTGCAAGATCCTGAAATTTTCAGACAAAACCCCAAACCTGGGCTGCATCTCGACAACACTTGAAAGAATCTCAGAGGTTTTTGACTGATCCTGGGAAACAAGATATCACAATACTTTTACCATAGGGTGGAGACCCCAAAACCTTTAGTGGGACTCAAAACTGGGACACATGAATCCTGGATCAGCAGATCTCAGAAACTTTGACCTGGTTCTGAGAAAACTCCTTATAAACCTCATGAACCAGAACTTTGAAAGAATCTTTACTAAAATCTACAGAAACTGGATCACAAAAACCTGTTTTTGGATCTTACAAAAGTTCAGACAGATCTTGATGAACTTTTGGTGAATCTAGAGGAACATTTTTCAGATCCTGAGAACCTTTTGCTGTCTTTGTAAAACCTGATCCAGATTCTCAGAACTTTTTGAAGATCCCAGAAGAAAAACAGGATGGATGGATCTGAACTTGAAGCAGATCCTGAGAAACAAGATCCCACAGAGCTTCTCTAAGATCCTGGAGATCTTTTTTTTCATAAGATTCAGAGACTTTAGATTCTGGGAAAAACAAAAACCTGCTTTAAGAAACTGTGAGGAATGATAAAAACAGCCTTTTATCTCAATGATCTTCTCAGCTCCATCTGTATCAAACCATGAGGAGATAAACAGGTTTTTTGTTTTTACCCTCTTTCCACCAGAAATGAATCTCTCCAGATCTTCGGCTTCTTGTTGACCTGGAACCTGAGAAGGAGGAAGAAGAGAAGAGTTACTGACCTCAGTCTGGAGTCTGTTTGGTGGAGCAGTCGGTAAACGAGGTTCGTTAATTTCACAGATTAAAAGCTCGACTTTGTCTGCTATAATCTTTAGACTTTAGATTATGAGATCATATTTTGGATTTTTTCATCATCTGTCATCTCAGACACAGAACTGAGCTAAAGAGAAAACACACTTTTGAGAACATGAGTGTGTCTCATAGATTAATAGATCTCTTTCCTCCACAAACAGGTCAGACTCGTGCGTTAGGGTCCTTTCACACTGGGAGCGTTTTTTTTAATGCGATTATTTTGGACATCAATAATTTTTTTTCTAACCCGTATCCTGTCAATTCAAGCGTTCACATCAGCAATGTTTTCCCGTCCTGCAATATTGTGGCATTTTTCAGATCACAGTTGATTTTTCTAAAGTTTCACATACTGTGTGTCCACTACTGACCAATCAGATTGCGTGTTGTTACAACGTCAGATTCACCGGTATATCCAACATGGCCGACCGGCTGATTGTTTACGTGTCGGAGAACAGAGTGCTTTTTGATAAAAAACACAAATATTACAACGATAACAACCTGAAGGACAACTTATGGAGAGTCATAGCGTTGGATTTCTCATATGACGATGGTTTGTGTGCTTTATCAGTTTGCTAAACGTCTTTGTTTTAACTTTCATCTGTGCTAAGTAACTTCAGCTTGTAAGCAAACCTGTTCAGATACAACATACCATATGTATTTTCACTGTCTCAAACTCAATCACAGCATCATTAGGTCTCTGTTGTTTACTTTCGTTTATGGATTATAGTTTAATGTGCTCATCTGGTACTGGCCCCGACTCAGTACATGCTATCATGACAGACAGCCATTTCAACACTAGTGTCTAAACAGAACTGAAAACAGTTAGTCTGCTGTTGTGCTAGTCGTCTCGCTTCCACCCGCAACGCGTCTTTTTACCCCCGGAAAGTTGCAAAATCGCATCGAGCTTGATGTGTATAGTCAGGCGCGTCAAAATTCACCTCCGAATATTTTGTAATTTTGCATCGTATATTTGTGTCGTTCCTGGTGTGTGAGGACCTTTAAAGTGACTGAAGTTTCCTCTGAAGTTTGTTTTGTTGAAGCTCAAACCTCGTTTTTAACGCACCGCTGTCAGCACAAGAACAGAGAGAGAGGAAAAAACAGCTGCTCACTCTTCACTTTAAATAAATCTCTCTAATAACACCAGAATCTAAATCTGCTCCTCTCAGCCGACATGTGGACTAAAAAAAACGAGGGTTTGTAAATCATCTGAAGATGAAAATAGAACCAAGGAGAAAACTTGTTAAATCAAGAAAAAACAAAGGAGAAGAAGAAGAGCCGAACATTTTAGATCTGAGCTCATAATCAGGTCTGGAAAAAACTGATCCAGCAGAAAACCCAGTGAGGAGTGAGGAACTGATTTACAACATAACACATTGTGCAACATAACCTGCAGTGGGAAGGTAACCAAAGAGACAACTCTGACAGAAACCAGGTTTGTGTGTGTGTGTGTGTGTGTGTGTGTGTGTGTGTGTGTGTGTGTGTGTGTGTGTGTGTGTGTGTGTGCACGCACCTGTTAGCAGGTCCGTCCGTGTCCAGCAGAGTCAGGATCGACCTCCCGTCCATGTCAGGGGGCGTGTCCAGACCGGCGATGTCCAGAATGGTCGGAGCGAGATCGATGTTCAGAACGATGTGAGGATTACTGAGAGAGAGACACACACACACACACACACACACACACAGGTCACAACTAGGGATGTTTATTTCCACCACTGATGCAGATTAGATACGCATGTTCTGTGCTGCCACCGATACAGAACATTAACGATGCATTGAAGCTCCCGTCGATATGATGCGATTCAAAAATCATTTAATAATGATATGACTTAATTATAAAAGGATTCTTTTTGAAACTGTGTGATAATTCGACACAGTTACACTACAGGCCAAAAGTTTGGAAGCAAGGCCATTACAGGCCGAACAGTTGGGAGTAACTTCAAGTTTTTGTTTTTGCTTTTTTTTAAATTCATCATGAGTTTTATGTATTTTGGGATGTATTTACTCCATGATCAGATAATGCTTTCATGGAAATGCACCATTTTACTCCATTTACCTTTAGATATACATTGATGTTAACAGACCGTTGCTAAATATATGTCAGCAAAAGATAATAAGGGCTTAGTTTTAGGGTTGAAAACATTTGCAAGAGTCACAACTTCAGTGCAAAAGCAAAAAAAAAAAATCACAGTTGGATTATTCACTTCAACTTTTTGGTTTTTAAGAGTCTGCATACAAAAATCCTAATAAATCTTAACTGCGTTTAGACTACCGCAGAAATGGCTAGAAAGAAGCAACTGAGTAAAGAAACAAAAGTACAGATTTGTACATTGAGGAAAGAAGGATACACAGAAAGAGAAACTGCAAAACGACTAAAGGTGTTTAACAAAGGAGTCCACTACACTCTGAAGAGACTAGAGGAACCTGGAAGTTATGATGATAGAAAAAGACCTGGACTAAAGAAAGTTACTAAAAAAGCAGAGGATAAACATAGCATTGTCACCAATAAGAGAGATCGGCAAAAGACAGCACCACAAATAAGGGAGGAAATCAACATGACAAGGTCGAAACCCATATCTCTGACAACCGTGAAATGACGTTTGAGAAAGGCTGGTCTGAAGGGTTGTGTATCTGCAAAAAAACACTACTTCGTCCACAGAACAAGAAAAGGAGATATGAGTGGGCAAAAGCTCACAAAAATTGGACTTGTGATGACTAGAAACAAGTTCTCCGGACTGATGAAAGCAAGTTTGCACTGTTTGGTTCAAAACGCAGAGTCTATGTCCGCAGACAAACTGGTGAACGTCTGAAAGCTCCATGTGTTACACCCACAATTCAGCATGGAGGTGGTAGTTCCATGGTATGGGGATGTTTTGCAGGTGATGGAGTAGGAGATTTGTTTGAAGTAAAGGGTATCATGAAGAAGGAACAGTAACACTCCATCCTCCAGCACCATGCTGCTCCATCTGGACTAAGACTTGTGGCTCTTAAGTTTGTTTTGCAGCAAGACAATGACCCTAAGCACTCTGTCAAGCTCTGTCAGGGTTACCTAGGCAAAAAAGAAGAGGAAGGTGTCCTTCAAAAGATGGTTTGGCCCCCTCAGTCTCCAGACCTTTCTCCAATTGAGCTTGTGCAGGATGAATTGGATCGGTCGGTCAGAAAAACGTGTCCCACGAATCAGCAGTATCTTTATAATGAACTTAAGAAAGCTTGGAATGCAATCCCTGGAACATACCTTAAAAACTTGTGGAATGAATGCCTGGTATATGCCAAGCTGTTGTTAAAGCCAGAGGAGGTTACTTTAAAGAAAGCAAAGTCTAAGCAAGAAAAGCTTAAATACCTAATAATTATAGACAAAAAGTCTTCTGATAAGTTACTCTTTACACAATAGTCATGTTTATTGTGTTGCAAATTATATATATGAAACTATGATCTTTTTTTGTACAAATCTGATCTTGCTTCCAAACTTTTGGCCTGTAGTGTATGTGTGTACGAGAGAGTATTTGCCCACATCAGGTTTTTTAGCACAATTCTGATTTACTCTCTGTGTTAATTTGAAGAATGTTTTTAATATTTGGTCTTTTTTTTATGGAATAAATCATATTTAAAAAAAACATTTTTCAGTCTGTACAGACAGAGCATTCAGTTATATTTGTAATAAGAACTTCTAATTATGTTCTCTGTCTCTATGATTATATAAAATGTTGAACAGTTTCAGAGCACAGAATTAACAATGAGCAAATAATATGACCAGCAACACAAACGACTGTCAGAGGAGGGGGAGCAGCCGCAGAGGTATCCATGCCATGACGTCTTTTCATGTGCGTCATCAGGTTCGTTGACCTACTGATGTACTTGAGCGCCGCACGGCATTGTTTGTAAATTGCGTGCCTCTTGTCAAGTTGAGCTCCTCGCTTGAAAAAACCTGAAATATTACCACGTTTGTTTTGTGTGTCTTTTTTGGTTGCTGCTACCTTCGTTCTCGTTTGCCTCTATATTTGTTGTGTACAACACCTCAGTGCCCGAGGACGCAATGGTGCATTCAGGTTACCTCAGAAAAGAGGACATGAATTTTACAATTAAATTACAAATTTACAAATTTAACGAGATTTACCAGAGCCCTAACCCTAACTAAAATTCACCCCTAAATTATATCTGATGCTCCTTGAATCTACCAGTGCAGTCGCATCGCAAACGTTTGTATCGGACTGCCAATATGAATCAGTGAATCTTCACACCCTGAGTTCAGACCTAAAGACAGTCCAGAGAGTTTACTGTGTGTGTGTGTGTGTGTGTGTCAGACCTACATGCTGCCCTGCTCCACATTTGGTCCTCGGATGTAAAAAGGAACTCTGATGTCGAACTCGTAGGGCATTGATTTACCTGCAGACAGAGAACAGGTGTCAGTGTGTACTTTGTCAGCTGTACGGTGTGTGTTGTGTGTCTGTGTGCGTGTTGTGTGTCCGTGTGTGTTGTGTGTGTTTGACTCTTAGATTTTTCCTCTTCAGTCCAAATCTTTAATTTTTTGTTGGTTTCTGTCAAATCCAAATTATTTCTTTGACTGAAAAAAACTTGTCTTCAAACTCTCATGTCAGACTAAAATCGGTGAAGTCAGCGCTTTAAAACTCTCTCTGTCCTGGTTTCTTCAGGGCTGAGCCCCCCTGAGGGTCTCATGTTCATCCCTGGACAGAACCGGGTTTATGAGGACAGAAAGAGTTCAGGTCCTCCTCACAGACCTTCTCCGAAGATCATGATGGTTTTCACAGGACTGCAGAGGTTCCTTTAGTCCAGACTACCATCTGAAAACCTGAAGCTCTGAAGTTTGTTTCATTGAAACATCTCAACGCTGACCCTGAGATTGTGGACTGACCCTGATCCCTCAGCCCCAGGTTTACCTTTGACCAGACCAAACTGTCCGATGTGATATCCATGATCAGACGTGTAGATGATATAGGTGTTCTCCAGCTCGCCCGTCTCCAGCAGCATCTGATAGAGCTGAGAGGTTACAGAGTTAACATCAGTGTGTGGGTGTGTGTGTGTGTGTGTGTGTGTGTGTGTGTGTGTGTGTGTGTGTTTGGGTCGGTTACCTTCTCAACGCTGTCGTCCACGCTCAGCAGCGTCTGCAGCCTCTTCCTCTGCAGCACGTTGGTGAACTCCATGTGGATGGGCTTCATTGGACCGGTGTAACGCATGATCCAGTGTTTGTCTGGGTTTGGAGCGTAGTTATAACTGGGAGTACTGGGAGAAGAGGGAGAAGAAGGTGTTCTTCAGAAATCTGAGGGAAACCATGTTGGAAAGTCTTCAATGAAACCAATCAGCATGAACTCTGATTGATCGATCATTCAGATTTGATCAATTATTGATCAGTTAATGATGAGCAGATGTCCTTCTTCTTCTTTTTCTGACCTCTTTGTATAAAATTCTCCGTTTTCTCCTGAACTGAAGTTCCTTCTGGAGTTTTCTCTCGTCTTCATCGTTTCACTTTCACTCTCTTGTTTTTGTATCTATGAGTTCTAGGTCCACTTTAGCGACACTGCGGGGAACCGTAAAGCAGTGCCACTTCGCATGACGTAATCGGTTGTGTAGCCTGCATACTGACAAGTGAATGAGAGCAGATTAGGATGGCTGAAATGGCGAATGAGAGCCAAAGACGAGTAAACTCACTAGAGGAGGGGCATTTTGTTTTGCGCCAGGCTGCTCCAACCAATTATACACTGTATGAAAAAAAATAACTTTGCATTTTCATCATTTGCCGCTCAAACTGCCGGTGATTCTCCGCAGCTTTTCCGCAGCTCACATATGCATGCAGCAGCAGCAGCAGCAGCAGCGATCAGATGTAAACATTGGTATTCAGTGTAATAAACTTCATCACCAGAGTCTCCACTGTTTAACGGAGATCTGACTGAAATAACGGAGGGAAAATTTTCTTACCTTCTTACCCCAACTTTGGTGTCTAAAACAGTCAGCATTATCAGTCATCCAGCTCCAGCAGGTTAATAATCCACTGATATTATTCCCGTTTACATCCTGTTTGAATCTCGTTTACAACCTTGTGGTCAGCGTCTCATCCATTCGTGTGAAAAATTTAAGTTTTTAGCGCTGTTTCTGGTCGGCCGGCTCAGTTATTTATTTCCTCGTCTTCTTCCACTGGGACACGGAACGCGCCTCGGTTCCGACATGGTGAGTTACACTCACCGGCCACTTTATTAGGTACACCTGTCCAACTGCTCGTTAACACTTAATTTCTAATCAGCCAATCACATGGCGGCAACTTAGTGCATTTAGGCATGTAGACATGGTCAAGACAATTGCAGTTCAAACCGAGCATCAGTATGGGGAAGAAAGGTGATTTGAGTGACTTTGAACGTGGCATGGTTGTTGGTGCCAGAAGGGCTGGTCTGAGTATTTCAGAAACTGCTGATCTACTGGGATTTTCACGCACAACCATCTCTAGGGTTTACAGAGAATGGTCCGAAAAAGAAAAAATATCCGTTGAGCGGCAGTTCTGTGGGCGGAAATGCCTTGTTGATGCCAGAGGTCAGAGGAGAATGGCCAGACTGGTTCGAGCTGATAGAAAGGCAGCAGTGACTCAAATAACCACCCGTTACAACCAAGGTAGGCAGAAGAGCATCTCTGAACGCACAGTACGTCGAACTTTGAGGCAGATGGGCTACAGCAGCAGAAGACCACGCCGGGTGCCACTCCTTTCAGCTAAGAACAGGAAACTGAGGCTACAATTTGCACAAGCTCATCGAAATTGGACAATAGAAGATTGGAAAAACGTTGCCTGGTCTGATGAGTCTCGATTTCTGCTGCGACATTCGGATGGTAGGGTCAGAATTTGGCGTCAACAACATGAAAGC